ACCACTTCATAGAATTACAAAATAATAGAATTTGAGAGTTGGAAGGGCCCTCAGTAACCATTTGGTCCAACTCATACACAAAAGGAAATCCCACTGTAACATGCACAGCGAATGGTCCTCTAGCCTCTGCATGAAGACTCCCAAGTCCTCCACTGCCACTGAAGACAGCTCATTCTTGGTGCATCTCTCCTTGGGGGGAAGTTTTTCTTGGCCTCAAGCCTAAATTAGCCTCTTTACAAATTCCACCTATTGCTTGTTTCTGCCCAGTCAGAAGAAGCCTAATCCTTGTTCCCATGAGAGCTCTTCAAATGTTTGAAGACAGTGATTATGACTTCCCCAACTCTACTCTTCTCCAGACTAAACATCTCTGGTCCTCTCAGCTTATGGCAGCTTCCACTTAGTCTGATTAACGAGCACATATATACCTATAGACATACACATATACATATGTATATATGTGTATATGTATACATATATACACATATATGGATATGTGTTGTGTGTATGTTATATGTGTGTGTGTGTGTGTGTGTATATATATATATATATTATATATATATATATATGTATGCCTGGTTATAAGCCACTAGCTTCATGGCATATTTATAAAGATAACTGAAGATCTAGTGGAAAGCCCTGTGATAGTAAGTGATAGGAAATTTCTGGACTGGGCAGGCAGAAAGGATTCATCTGCCTCTACACTGGGGAGAAAAGCATCCATTTCTCCTGTCAGTAACATGGGACTTGGGCTGCTCAGAGGAACCTCTAAAGGCAGGCAGAGCCCATAAGGAGGAGGAAATCACTGGGCATCGCAGATACCCTGGAGGCCCATTGGAGAGTAAGTGAGAATCGATTGTGCGTTGCCTGAAGAATAACATTAGAGTAGACCTTGTGTTGTGACTGTTCGACATTTTTATGGAAATCACCAATGGTCTCTTGGATTCATTCTTAACCACTTAACTTTGTATTAGACTACTGGAGTTGGTTAGCTTCAAATTTGGACAGAACTTTCTGAAATAATGGGTTTGGTTTTGTCTCTTGGAGAGGTTCTCCTACTTTAAAGTATTTCCCTTGTCCCCAGAGCCAGGCTCAGAGCGAGACCTCTTTTCATACTTTTATTTTTATGTGCCCTTGAGGAAAGTGTATTTTCCTTTTTTAAGGTAGCTAGGTGGCACAGTGGAGAGAGCCCCAGGCTTGGAGTTAGAAAGACCTGAGTTCAAATCCAGCCTTAGACATTGACTAGCTATGTGACCCTGAGCAAGTCACTTTTCCCTGTTTGCCTCAGTTTCCTCATCTGTAAAATGAACTAGAGAAGGAAATGGCAAACCACTCCAGGATCTTTGTCAAGAAAACCCCAGATGGAGTCACAAGGACTCAGAAATGACTGAAATGACTGAAGAACTACAACAAATTATTTTCCTTTATCCTTCTTCTTGTTTCACAACTTGATCAAGTTTTCAAGTTCCCTTGTCAATGATTACTGGGGCTTTGATGAAATTTAACAGGAGTAAATGTAAATTCACTCACAGGCTCAAAAGGTCAACTTCCCAAGTGAAGGCTAGAAGAAATTAGTCTTGATATCCATTCATATGAAAAAGATAGGGGGAATATTAGAAAATGGCAAGCTCAATATGAGCCTACATTGTTATATGGCAGCCAAGAAAGCTAATGCCATCTAAGGTGGCATCAAAGAAGGCAAAGTATCCAGATATAAGAAGGTAGGGACAGCCCCACTGTCAGCTGCCCTGCTCAGCCTGCTTCTGGACTATTCAGTCCAGTTCAGACCACTAAATTCTTGGAAGGACTTTGGCAGAAGCATATATGGAGAATGGCAACTGAGATGATGAAGGGCCTCAAATTCATGTCATGAAAGGATCAGTTAGTGACATTTGGGATGTTTAACCAGAAGAATAGAAGACTCAGGGTAGATATGATACCTGTCCTTAACTATCTAAAGGCATGTCATGTGAGAGGGAGGGAGGAAGAGAGAGAGAGAGAGAGAGAGAGAGAGAGAGAGAGAGAGAGAGAGAGAGAATAGACCAGAAACAATGGAGGAAAGTTGCAAAGAAGCAAATTGTGGCTTGATGTTGGGGAAAGCTTCCTAATCATGAGAGCAACCCCAAACTGGGCTTTGGGAGGTGCTGAGATCCCTGTCACTGGAGGTCTTTGAGCAAAGGTCAGATGAACACTTGTTGGGACTGTTCTCCCAAGAGGAGATTCTTGTCTGACTCTTCATAACCCCATTTGGGGTCTTCTTGGCAAAGATACTGGAGCAGTTTGCCATTTCCTTCTCCAGCTCATTTTACAGATGAGGAAACTGAGGCAAGTAAGTGAAGACTTGCTCGGGGTCTCATAGCTAGTAAGAGTCTGAAGCTGAATTTGAACTCAGGAAGATGAGTCTTCCTCACTCTAGGTCTTGCACTCTATCCACTGCAACACCACTTAGCTACCCTTCTTATGCTTACAAGGTTATATAATTTGGATGCATAGTACTATATATAGGAATCATTTCAGGAACAAGCATTTGGTAATTGCTCACTATGTGCTGGGCACAGTAACAGGAGCTAGGAAAAGAGTGATAAAAGTGGACCAGTCCCTGCCCTTAAGGTGCTTATATACAAAATAAATACATGGTAATATGGAGTTAGAGGGAAAGCTCTCATAGCTTGGGAAGCAGGAAAGCTAGAATATAGATACATAACTGAACCTGTGGCAGCTGATGAGATTGCCAAGAGTACAGAGAGAGAAGGAGAAGACAACCAAGGACAGTGCCCTGTGAGACACTCACAGTGGGTAGATGTGACCTGGAGGAATATACAGTGAAGGGAGGCTGAGAATGAGTAGTCAGGCAGCAAGAGGAAAGCCAAGGAGGACAATATCACAAAGACTTAGGAAAGAGTGAGGATCCAGGAGGAGATGGTGATCAACAGTGTTGAAGGCTGCTGAGAGTTAGATCAGGATGAGGACTGAGAAAAAGCTGTTTGAGATGGAAGTTAAGAGATAATTGTTAATGGGAGAGGGCAGCATCAATTGAATTATGAGGTTGAAAGTGAGACTGCAGAGGGTTTAGAAGCAAGTAAAAGGATTAGATTTCGCAGTTAAGAGATCATTGATAACTTTGGAGAGAGTGGTTTTGTTGAATAATGAGGCTGGAAGTCAGATGGCAGAAGGTTTAGAAGAGAGTGAAAGAAGGAGAAATGGATGCACCTCATGTAGAAGACTTTCTGAAGTTTATCTGATAAATGGAAGAGGATACAGTAGATAGTGGGGATGATTGGATGGAGTGAGGAGAAGATGGGAGAGAAGGGGATCAAGGGTACGTGTAGAAGAGTCTTAAAAAACAATTTTAAACTCTTTCTAAAAGTATAAAAAATAATTTCTAATGAGTTTAATCTAAAACAAGATCGTAGTTGCAAAACAAGTAAGCTCCTTGAGGGCAGAGACTGTTTTTCATTTATGTCTTTGTATTCCCATCACCTTGCAGAAAGCCTTGCATGTAGTAGATGGCTATTAAATGCATGTGGAATTGGAAGAAGTGGTACAAAAGTGCTATTGACTCAACATTCCTGGGCTCTCTCAGGCTTCAGGATTTCTCTAGATAGTCACAACTGCTATTTGTAACCTACCTTTGGATGAGACCGGCTCCTCTTGGGGTATAACAGCCCCTGTGTCACCCCATACTATTAAGCTCCCCCGCCCAACGTGGCTCATCCTTTCTCGAGTAGGTGACAGGAGGCCTCTAACCAGCCAGTCCTTCCCATCTCTTGTCTTCCTCTTGCTCCAATCACTTGACAAACTGAGCCTTGGAGAGAGAGAGAAAGAGGGATAGACTGTGGGAGAGAGCCCCAGACCAGAGCAGAGGAGGAGTTACAGGAAGAAATGCCACCAGCCTAGCATAGGCAAGCACCCCCCATTCACCAGGTGCAGAGGAGTGAGCTGCGCCAGTTACCACCATCATCAGAGTTTACTCAAAAACCCAAGCTCTCATAGATACTAGAAAAGAAGATGCAGAGATTCTTAGCTTCCATTTTGTTTAAGGTCTGCTCTCAGATTCCTCCCTGGAAGAGTGGGAAGTTTATTTTTTTTAATAACTGCACATGCTATGAGTCTGGGAGACTAAAGGATACTTAGGACCATGGGATTTTACATTTAAAGCTGGAAGAATTTTGATTATCTAGCCCCAGCCACTTTATAGAAAAAGGAGGCCCAGAAGGGGAAAGCAGCGAGCCTAAGGGACCGAAGCCAATCGACTCCGAATTCTAGTCCCTCCTCTGACAGATCCTGGCCGTGTGACCCCAGGCAAATCACTTACTTCTCATGCAACTTTCTAAGGCAGAGAAGGGGCTGGCCTGTGTTGGCAGAGGGAGTTTCCCCACCTGGGAGTTCTCTATCCCAATGACATCACAGATTCAGTCCCTAGCCTTTCTGCTGCATCATGCTTCTGGCCTCTCCTGACTTCTCCACCACACTCAAGAACCTTCCTATACTCACAATGATGTGAAAAGTTGGCTTAGATTAGTAGCTTCCAGTCCTTCAAATCTCCTCTCATCTAGCTTCTTACTGGAGCCCCAGGTAAGGAGAGCCGTTAGGGATCTGCCCCAGGCCACCAGGCGGCCTCAGAGTCCCACAGTGGGTGTTGGAAATAGCTGGGCTTAGCGGCTAGTTAGCATCAGCATCAGCAGAAGTCTCTGAGGCCATCCAACAAGATAGCATCCGCCTTGGTCCTCACTCCTCAGCAGGACCCTCAGTACCCTCTGCCCCTCTAGTTGGCGGACAGAGGAAGAGCTCTTCCCAAAGCCTCCGCTGAAGGAGAGGGCCCGTGCCATCTATCTCTTCATTTCTCAGCTGGCTGTACACCTGGGAACTTCTCCATTAAGCCCCAAGTTGGGACAGTTCTTGTGGGAGAGGGAGGGATCTATTCAGCGGGGATCTGCTCGGGTAACTGTGTGAAAACTTGATGCTGCCCCAGTCTGTTTACTGTTCTGTCACTCTCTGACCAGGTATCTGTTCTCTCTTCCTTTTTGCTGATCACAGAGGCGAAGCCCGGTAAGAATTCTCACATTTTTTATCTTCACGTGGGTCATCAAAGCTTCCTGCGAAGGCATGGGGGGGGAGGCTTGTTAGCCTTTAAGTGGGTCAAAGAGAGGGTACCCAAGGCTCCTGGGGAGGGGTTAGCCCTCTCAGATACAGCTGCGTCCTCTAAGGGCTCCTTACTGAATATGGCCCCGAGTACTTCCTAATATCCCGGACCTTTTCCAGGATAGATGATGCTTCTTATCTCATCCCCTACTTGGGAACTCCAGCCATTAGGAGATATGTCAGGGGAACAAATATGTGTAGTATGTGTGTGTGTGTGTGTGTGTGTGTGTGTGTGTGTGTGTGTGTGTATGATGTGGTGTGGTATAGGGCTGGATGAAGGGTAGGGGAGAACAGTCAAGATGACAATAAGGAAATTATCCCTTTTCATGATAAAAATTGTTTGTCAGAACATGAGAATATAACCTGAGAATATAACCTTGGAATATAGCCTATGCAGGTCTATGTATAGGAATATATGAATATGACTTTTTTTAAGTCAGGAATATGACTTATTTTTAAAAAAATAAGATTTTTTTAAGGGAGAGTACACTCCCAAAGTCATAGGATAGGAAAGAATGGACCTCACGGGTCATCTAGACCAACCCCCTCATTTTACAGAAGAGGAAATTAGGGCCCAGAGAGGTTAAGTGATTTGTCCAAGGTCACAGGAATAGGAAGTAGCAAGTGTGCTTTGAATTCAGAGACTCTCACCCCAGCCTATCTCTCCAATGTTTATGATTGCATTCTGACAGTCAAATCTCATTAATGTGTCTGAAGCACAACCTAACAGAAATCAGGACCTGGGAGGACATGATAAATTCTTCTCATCATGAACAGACAGAAACGTCTTTGTTTAGTTCCAAATGACTCCAATCAATCTGTTGATTACTCTAAGGATGCAGAGAGCTTCTCACGAAAACCATATTCAATCTATGTCAATCAGTTAGTGGATATTTCTTAGAAATAGGCGCTACTCCTCCTGCATAGTTAGTAGTCTCACATTTAAACCTCATAGTTGTCCTAAGCCCAGCACCGTATGTTCTATTACTCAGGGACTGGTTAGCCAAACTGGGAATTATCTTAGCCCAACATTTCAATGAAATTAGACAATTGAAAGCAGCCCTTTGAGGGGAGGGGGGAAGATCTCAATTCCAAATTAAGTGACAATCAAAATCTCAAGAAGCATTGTCTCCTGTGGAGAGGAGGGGATAAAAGGCCAATTGACTGACTGCAAACTGGATTTTTTAGAATGTGATTTGATAAAATTCCATTTGTATGCACATGCCTAGACACACAACCCCAACTAGCTAGTGGCCCTTTCAATACCTTGCCGTGCGCCTCTCCCTCCCAAATACATTCAAGCATCGTTCAACAGTTGACTTACAGAAGAACCCATTTTTCGTGGGGATTCAAAGATCTAAAGTCGGAAGGAAGGCATCACAGGCCATTTAGACCAACCCCCTTATTTTATAAACAAGGAAACTGAAACCCAAGAAGGCTATGACTTGCCCAAGGTCGCACTGGTACAGAGTGTCAGAGGTAGAATTTGAACTTTCTGCTTCTGTAACTTGCTTTTCTAAAGGTAAATTAGGATGTACATCATTGGAACCTCAGAGCTTTTCCCCAAAATGCATGTTCTTTATGTCACCTGAACTTCTAACCAGTGAAATGTTCTCCTATATGGGTCCTATGTTGCATATCCATAAATGGAGTTTAAGAATGAGAGAACTACAGAGTAGAAAGAGACCTTAGAATTTACCTGGCCTAGGCCCAACCCCAAAGCAAAAGCCCATCTACAAAATGCCCCCAAAATCTCACTGCCCCAACTCCACACCAACCTTCTGTGACTGGGAGCCCCCCGCCTGTCAAAGCAGCCCAAGCATTTTGTGAGCAGTTGAAATTGGAAACGTTTATTTATTTTGAACCAAAAATATGTTTCTCAGTATTCTCCCCCACCCCCACCCCACTAACTTGGGTTGAGAAGAACTCATGAGAACCCTTCAAATACTTGAAAAGGGGTGTCATGTGCCCCCCAACTCTTTACTTCTCCAGGCTAAATATTCTTAGTTCCTTCATCAAATCCTCAATCTGAGCAGAGCAGAGTAGCAGCACCCTCCCTGCGTCTCAGTCCTGAGTGCTCCATTTCCGTGCAGACTAGGATTGCGTTGGCTTTGGGAGAGGCATATCTGACATCTAAGTTAGGTTGAACAGGAACTAAAACCTCCAGATGTTTGTTCACATGAACTACTTTCTAGAGTTTAGATGGAGACCCCCAGCACCTTATACAATGGGTAGGACATGGTGTGTGCTTAGCAAATGTGCTGATTGAATTTAATAGAACTAGACCAGGGTCTTTTTTCCCCCATTGCTTTTATTTATTTATTGTTCAACAACAAATGCTTATTATATGAATTCTGAAAACTAGGGATGGAAAAAATCTCAATAGGAATTTTAGATTTGGGGTAGTTTCATGGATACTGTGATTTGAAAAAAGAAAAGCAGATTATGTTTAAAAAGAAAAGTAAAAAAGTGTGCATTGGATGAAGCAAAGGGAACTTTTTCAGCTTGAAAAAGAGAAGTCTTCAAACAATAACTTAACAAGCATTTATTAAGTGCCTACACTATGCCAGGCTTAGGGGACACACAATAGTTGTCTTCAAGTGATAAGGAAGGGTAGGGGTGATTCAAAAGGTCAGATTTTAGCTTGATGTCAAGAACTTCTTACCAATAGAAGCTGTCCACAAGAGGAATGGTCTGCTTTGGGAGGCAGTAGGTTCTCCATGACTGAAGGTCTTTGAATACAGGTTGGATGGCTTGCATCGGGCTTGATATAGAAGCAACTGGGCTCTTTTCAAGCATGGATTAAACCAGATATGACTTCAGAGGTTTCTTTCAACTCTGAGAGGCTAGGATTCCATGACAGGAGTCCTAACCCCACTGATGTAGAGGAGTTATTGTTTGCCCCACTATTCTGATGGGCTGCTGTATGTCCTTTGACAGCCCATTAACCATATGATACACCTGCTTGGGAGTAGAAAATGAGAAAGTTGTTCTTTCAGGCTATGGATACAATTAAAAAGCTCTGCTCCCCTGACAACAGTCTTCATTTCTCTTAGTCAACGGCAATCCTCTGGTCTGCACCAGTCATAAGCCTGTCTGGGTTTGGCTTGTCAGAGGAGAAATGGGCTCAGGGCTCTAGAATGACAAAAAATGGCAGAAAAAATCCAGAAGGCTGGTTTGAATGCATGGATTTAATGTTCCCCCTTCTAGGAATAAGACTCATTTATAGGAACTTAAAGCAAGATTTTTATGGATTCTGTTAAAATCAAATTGCTTGCTCCATCCCATCTTGAAGCAATATGGTACCCACTGTCTAAATCCCATCTTAGAAATCAGGAAGGAAGGGGGATTCCTCATAGGAAGAATCCTGTCAATGCTTTGTTTTTATAATAATGTCCTGTATTAGTGATACAAGTAATTTTTCTGGATGGCTGCACCAAAGGATACAGTAATAAGTTCCCAAGAGATCATGGATACACAGCTCCTAATTACTATGAGGGAGACTCTCAGGCTAAGTTGTGAGAGAGGAAAACATTTTTTATTCTCTTCTGCCTAACATTCCTAGTACATTCTTCCTTCCTTGGGAATCCCACAGTCTATCCCCCAGGATTCAACTATCCTTATGTTGTCTCCCACCAGTTCAAGGCAGTGATGCCCCCACCACTCACACACACACACACACACACACACACACACACACACACACACACCCCAAGCCTACCTTTCCATTCTCTACCAATCAAAATGTATCAGTCCAAAGTCTCATTTTCTCATGGCCTTGCTAAGGGACTAACCAATTTCTTCTGCTCAATAAACCCAAACTTAGGTGTTAATGGCTGACAGTGACTTAATGACTTAGTCTTACCTCCAAAGGGACTCCTGAAGACAACGCTTCAACCAAAATCATTGTTTTCTTACTGTTATTATTTCCAGTGTTGAGGCAAACAAGTCAAGAGAGGCAGATAGTTCGGAGCTGAGGAGACTTCTCAGACAGCCCCTCAGATAGAAGGCTAGACAGTTCTCTGCCCATAAATGACTAGCTCTGAGAATTCCGTTTAGTTCAGCAAGCCCTTATTAAGCATCTGCTATCACTGTGCTATGTGCCAAAGACACAAACACAAAAATCAAAACAGTCCTTGCCCTCAGGGCACTTACATTCTACTGGGATGAAACAATCTGACTAAGAAATACAAAACTTTTTTCTAAATATAGGAAGGAAAGAACAGTAGCAACTGAGAAAAGGGATAAGAGCAGGGATAATCTCACGGACTTGACCCCCGAGCTGAACAATGAAGGGAGGTAGGGATTCCAGGAAGTGCCAGGGAGGAGGGAGAGTATTCCAGGCCTGGGGCGCCCACCACCTGTGTGATGGATTACCCCCTGGGAAACAGCTAGTGAACTGGTTTGGCTGAAATGAAAAGAGGGGCTCAGTATGCCCACTATGTAAATGAGAATGTAGCTTCGGGGCATGCCTCTGCTTCTCCCTTCCCGTTTCCACCTGTACTTGTATGGGCAGTCTTCCTAGTCCATACAGCTGTTAGCGTCTTAAGGGATGCACCCAGTCTGTGTGAGATTACTCAAAGTCAAGCAGGATCCTTCATCTAGACCAGAGTTTTCAAATATTGAAAGCACTGGAGGGGGAAGGGGTGTCCTGTTGATCCAATTTTTGTTTTCTTAGGAATTGGAAGATTTTTTTGATGGAAATGATTTATGATCTTGTGTCCAGCAATCATTGATGATTGGTTAAATGATCAAAGCTAGTCTAAGTGCCAATCCCACCCAGATAACAGATTTCTTTGGCTCAAAAATCTTTGACTTGCCTTTCTTTTCTTTTTTTCTTGTTTTCTTTCCTTCCTTGCTTCCTTCTTCCCCCCCCCTTATTTCCTTCTTTCTCCTCCTCTCTTTTCTCCCTTCTTCTTTTTCTTCCTTCTTCCCTTCTCCCCCTCTTTTCTTTCCCTTCCTTTCTTCCTCCTCTCTTTTTTTAGCTAACTGTATTCTCTTTGGTTTCAATATAAAACAGATTTCTGTGTGTGCATGTGAGCTTATGGTCCTGCTGTGTAATCCTCAATTTGAGCTCAGTTTCAAGTGAAGCCCATTTTCCCCTCTTTGCCTTTGCTTCTTTGCCCAGCTTAATTGAAATGACAGAAATGTGCATATTATGCCAAATATTATATGTGGTCCTAATCCTTATAGTATCTGTTTCTAATTCTAGGGTGCAATTAAAAGGAACTTATCCAGTAAGTATGGTTCAGATTCCAGATCTAGAGGACATCCCGTCCAGGAAATATCTTCCTGAAAGAGAGTCCTGTGTGTGTGTGTGTGTGTGTGTGTTAATCTAGACTCAGGCTCCATTTCTGAAGCCTGCCTAGAACTCAATTCTCTTCCTTTACAGCAGAGAAAACTCAATGATGCCAGGAAACTCCTGTGGGCTCTGTGTTACCCATATCTAAATTCTCCCAACCAATGTGTCTTGGCATTTTTGCCGGTGCTGATGCTTTGGGCAGCCTGCTTCCCCACTGGCCCAGTTCCATGGACATTTAGTTTCTGAATTAGGTGAAACAGACCTCACGATAGGAAAAGGGATGGGGGAGAACAGAAATGAACAGATCTTATACTTTTGTATTGGCAAGGCCAGTTAACCAGAGCAATGAAATGGGACACAGGCTCTGGTAGAATTACCTTAGAGTGATAGGTACAGGCTGGATCACACAAAATGATTGAGTATATTCTCCAGTTTCTGGTTTTCTTGGCACCTCAGCAAAGGAAGGGCAACAGTAAGCATCCTTTATATTCTGGCTTAGCAGCTCCTTAAGGTGAACAATTATTGAGCAAACTCATCTGCTAAACCCCTGACAAAGAGTAGTCTTTTCATTGTGGGCTGAATATGGCAGTTTAGCAGCCAATAAAATCTGATTCAATCCAGACAAAGGAATGTAACATACATGAGTGGACCAAAGGTGCTCTCAGACCTGGGCGATTGCATGATAAGTGTTTGAATGTAGAGTGATTTTGTATGTATCCAGTTGGAGCTCAAACTTGCACGTGTATCTAAATGTAGCTCATGTAGAAAGCCCCAGTAGAAGGAGATAGAATGACTCTAAATCTATGTTGTCCTGTGCCACAGGTGAAGAGGTAGCAAGACCCCGACGCTCAACACCCACACCAGAGCTTATAAGGTGCGTATGAGACTCATTAAGCTTTGTGCAAAATCAGGAGTGTAGGTTACCAATTAACAACTCCTTTCTGATCTGAATTGTACCCACAACTACCTGTTAATAAGAGGTCTGGCTGCAGATGAGTCTGTAAAATAACCCCATTTCTCCTAAGTGCTGTTGCAGGGAGCCCTGCTGGGAAGGGTTAGGTCATTCTCAACTGGAAGCTGCAATTACTTCCTCCCTGTTCCGTCTTGTGGGAGGTTTTCCTCAGTGCGTGAGTCACTGATTAGAAAAGACATTTATGTTGCCCGCAGAGTGATAGGTGTTGGATTTGGACCTTGGTTCAAATCCTGGCTCTACTCTTCAGGGGCAGGGAGGTGACTTGGATGGCCACAGACATCCCTTCCAGCCACAGGTCTGGGATTCAGAGTCACTGAACATCTCTGAGCCCCAGTTTCTACATCTGTAAAATAAAAGGGTTGGGCCAGATGACCTGAAAGGTTCCCTCTGGATTGAGACCTATGGTCATTGGAGCCATAACTAGTAATTTCAGGACCATGAGCAGAAAGTAAGACTCATATCTAGGACCAGCGGCATGAATCCCACTTTGTCATTCATCAGGAGAAAAGGACAAGTAATGAAGAAAAAATTCAAGTAAGTGGGAAATGAGGGTAGGGTGGTGAGATGAGTCACTGTGGTGCCCACTGAGATAGGGTATGCACGAGTTTGGCATCTTTTAGATTTCTGCACCCAGGGAAAACCTCTGGTTAGTTTGTCCTAGGTACAGCCCAAGTCATGTGCTTTGTAACAGGTGTGTGCTGGATATCAGGCGTGTGTGTTACAACACGCATGTGTTCTGGTCAGGAAGATAGTTAAATATTTATGGTTCCTAAATAGGACCAGGTCCTCCCTAGAATCTTCTCTGCTCAAGAAGGTATTAGTATTACGTGGGAAGAGAGAGACGCCTAAAGATAGCACGCTTCCTTATGCTTAATCAGACAGATTGGACAGCAAAGACGAGTTGTAATCATTGGGTCCTAGTTTCAGAGCTGGATGGGGCCTGAGAGATCACATGGTCCACATGCGTTGATTATCTTACTCTGTGCCAAGTACTAGGGATATAAAGACCATGAAAAAGAAGGCCCTGGCCTCAAGAAGTTTATCCTTGAATGTGGGAAACAACATGTAACTAATTAGGTAGGTACAAGACATGGACAGCGTGATGGAAGGCCGTCTCAGAGCGAAGGTTTACAAGAGCTTCATTTTGTAAAACAGGAAACAGACCCCGCCAGAAGAAGGGAAATGAATTGTCCAAGGTCACAATGCTAACGAAGACTGGAGCTGGGATTCGAACCCAGGTCTTCTGATTTCAAATCCAGGGTTCTTTCCACTACCACTTCACTGTTAGCTCTATTGGAAATTTTTGTTTTAAGTCTAGGATGCTGACTGTCCTCTCATTCATCCTCTAAATTGCCCAGTGAGTTTGATAAGCATAGGGCTGTTGTTAAAACCAATTTAGTCCTCTGTGAAGATGCTTTGAGATTGTGCAACTCTTCTTGACCCTATTTGGGGTTTTCTTGGCAGAGATACTGGAGTGGTTTGCCATTCTCTTCCCCAGCTTGTTTTACAGATGAGGAAACTGAGGCAAACAGGGTGAAATGACTTGCTCAGGGTCACACAGCTAGTAAGTGTCTGAGGCCAGATTTGAGCTCAGGGAGATGAATCTTCCTGACTCCAGGTGCAGTTCTCTGTGCACTATGGCGCCCCCTAGCGGCCCATATACGTTCCCAATATCAGTTTTCAACTTAACAAGCATTTATTAAAGCTTCTACTCTGTGCCGGACGCTGGAGATTCAAAGACAAAAACAACAGTTCCTGCCTTCAAGGAGCTTACATTCTGCTGCATTATTATGCTCTACAGTATTGCTATTTCATCTGGTTGTGTAGAATCATGATGCCCAAAAATAATTGACTTTCCTCCGATTTATTTCTCTGTCGTCAGCATGGCTCGGGTCTATTCAGCACCCTCAGATTTCTTGTTCTGCAGGTAGAGCTGGGATTCTGCAATCCCATTTGTTTGGCCAGACCCAGAGCTTTAACTCCACATGACACACATGTAATCCAAGAATTTACTAAGCTTTCATTTAGATACAGCCTTAAAGAGTCTGTGTGAATCATTAAGACACGAGGGGAAAGGGATGGCGTAGGGCTCTTTTCCCCACGTGTAGCTGAGGGATCAGATTAGATCCTGAAGAGTTAGCTTTACCAAATCCTCTTCCTGCTATTCAGCCCACACAACACTTAGCTGGTTCCTTGGTGTCTCACGTAAGGCAGGGCACCAGGTGTCTCAGTCTTAGGCAAGAGTATGGAAGTCAACAATGGTCAGTCAATATGGCATGGTAGACAGCATGTTGGACGTGGTATCAGGAGGACTGGAATTTGAATTCTGTCTCAGACACTTAATGATAGCTAGCATTTATATGGGCCTTTAAGGTTTCTAAAGTGCTTTATAAATATTAGCTCATTTTGTCTTCACAACTCTGGCCCCATTTTATAGATGAGACCACCAGTCATATGCTTTGGGCAAGTTGTTTACTTCTCTCAGCCTCAGTAGCCTCCTCTGTAGAATGAGATGATTGGATTCAATGGCTTCTAAGGTTCCTTCTAGTCCTAATCTATGATCCACTTTATTGTGCACAGGGCAGGGATGCAAAGAATGGCAAAAAACTGTCCCAGCCATCAAGAAGTCACAATCAAATGTAAATGACCCTGTACACACAGGCTAGAAACAGAGAAGATGGAAGGCCTGGGGCAGGGGAGAAGGCAGAGGGGAGGTAGGCAGATGCTGTGCTCAGGGTATGGAATAACAGAGAGAAAAAGTACTCCTGCCCTCAAGGATCTTCCATTCTCCCCAGGGTAGATGAAGCCCAACACATAAACAGATATATATTTTCATGGTAATGAGGAGGAGGAGGAGGAGGAGATTTTTGAAAACTTAAGAGAATCAGGACAAGTACACTTATAGATGCATGTGCATACATATACATACACACACAATGCCTACCTCACCAAAATAAATATTTCAAAAGCTATGTGACAATCAAGTATTTGTCAATTCACTACCCGGGGTATTAACATTGTCATCTTTTCTGCATTTGCCTTGAATGTGTGTGATCTAGCAAAAAACCTCCAGATGACCCAATGGCACTGGCCCCGCTCTTTGGTCCTCCATTGGAATCGGCATTTGAAGGGCAGAAATCCGAAGGTAGGAAGCCCCCTGTCTGCCCCCCCACAGAGGTGCCCAATACCAGAATTCCTATAAGCCTAATGTGTCTTTGCATCTCTAGCACCTAGCATGGTGCCTGGCACAAAGTAGGTGCTTAATAAATGCTTATTGGCTTACTGGCTAACTCATGGAAAGGAGAGGCATTAATGAAAACTAGATTAAAACCTTTCCTCCCACCCACCCCCATATTAAAAGTCAAAGGTTTGCTACCAGAAGTAGCCACCATCCATGATAGGGCCCTGGAAATATCATGATGAACTCATGGAGTCAGTTGCCTAAAAAACATGACTGACCAGTGAGTCAGAGTGACATCATCTGGGATGTCCTGGGTGACAGGGGCAAGAACATGGACCCACTCCCCTTTCCCTTTTTCATGTTCTTTGAGGTGTGGGTGCTCTCAGGTTCATGAATTTCTATTCCATCACAATATGAGAAGCAGCACCAGTCAATAAACATTTATTAAGCACCTACTGTGTACCAGACCCTGTGCTAAGCGATGAGAATACAAAGAGGCAAAAGAGTGGCTGCCTCAAGGAGCTTGCAATCTAAAGGAGGAGAGCATGCAAACAGCCTCATAGGAACAAGCTATAGACAGGATCAAATGGGAACAACAGAGGAAAGGCACTAGAATTTGGGTGGGGGTGGGAAAGGCTCTCTAAAAGAAGATAGGTTGGTGTAGTGGATAGCCTGGACTTGGCATCGGGAAGATTTGGTTTTCATTCTCTCTTCAGACACTTCCTAGCTATGTGGCCCTAGGCAGATCATTTCACTTCACTGTGAAATGAAAGGCCTCAGTTTCCCCATCTGTAAAATAAAGACGTTACACTCAGTAACACCCAGGACCCCTTCCAGGCCTGGATCTATCATCCTGTGACATCCGTAGAGGCCATTTGTTGGTTGGCTCACGACCAGTATCACTGACAGGCTGAAAAACCAGCAATTACTCATTCATAGCTGGCCATCTGAGAAATAGAACATTTCAGGAAGAAATGAGCTTATGAGTTTTGACCGTTCTGCTGGGCTTGTGTAGAGATTAAGCATGGCAAGGTTGAATTTTATCTGGGCTTAAATAACTTAACTTAGTCCTGACTGAGACAATATACACTTTGTTCTCAAGGGACAAGCTCTGCTCCCCAAGTCTATATTTCTGCCAATGCCTAGAGCCGCTGGGAGGAGAGATAGGCTGGATTCTCAGAACATTCCATTTGGCTCAGCTGAGCTGTGGGCCATCCATACGATGAAACCCACGGGACCATTAGATGGAGGCAGGAGGGAGACAAGTGCAGAACATATTAGACCTGGGAGGCTGAAGGTATTGGCATGCTTAGCTATGGAAATACGGATATTAATTTCACTGAAGGTTCCTTTAGAGACTTACATGTTAAATGGTGTGGTTTTTTGTATACTGTTGATGTGGGGGACAGAGCAGGGGACTCACTGAGCCACATCTGACTTTTTGTGGCTGGAACAGTTTCATTTCAAAAAATGGGATTTGACTGGCCATGTTTCCACATAATAATTAGTTAAAATGGAATTCTGTTGTGTCTGCGTCTTTGTTAGACAGATGAAGACCTCAAAAGTCATATAAAAATATAAAATTTCATCTTAAAAACAAAATTAGGAGCTGGAGATTACAAAGCCAAAGCCAAAACAATCCTTGCCTCCCAAGCAACTTTCTGCTGAGGGGATGTGGGTAGGGACTGGACTTCCATTGTTAGAGGGAATTCCCGGTTCAAGAAACTTTCTCTTCCAGTGCAGATCAGCACCCTCTCTAATGACTTGGAGTTGACTAGAGCCCTAAGAAGTGAAATGACTTGCCCAGAGTCACACAGCCAGTGTCAGAGGGAAGTCTTGAACCCAGATCTTCTATCTACACAGAGGATGCAATTCCCTGCCCTTCCCCCCCAAAATATGAATCTAGGTGGTGGGATGATGATAATCAGGATATAATTATAAAGCTAAAAAGGCTTTCTAACATAGAACATGTTTCACTTCAAATCCAGAAGGCCTGAATTCTAATTCTGCGTTACACATTGACTATAGTTTATGATTTTGTTTAAGCCTTTCTCTGCTTAATTTCCTCATCTATAGTTGGGGATGACACCTTCCTCCCTGTGTTGGTATGAGGATCAAGAGAGATGATAGTGGTAATATGCTTTGCACATTTTAAAGTGCTATACACTTGCTAACTCTTATTATTAGTATTTATTAGTGTTGCTATTATTGAAGGCCTGCACAGAGAGAGGCGATATGATATAGAGGATGGAGCACAGGACCTGGAGTCAGAAAAAACCTGGGCCACTTACTGGTTGTGTGATCCTGGGCAAGGGGCTTAACTCCTTGGGGCCTCAGTTTATCATTATTATTATTGTTACTATTAATAATAATAAATAATTTAATTAATTTATTAAGTAATTTAATAATAATGTTCATAATAACATTATTATTAATAGCTAACATTTATATAGTGCTTCAAGGTTTGTAAAGTGCTTTATAGATATTATTTTATTACATCCTCATAACAACCATGGGTGCTATTATTATTCCCATTTTACAGAAGACAAAACTGAAGCTGAGAAAGGTGATGTTGACTTGCCCAGGGTCACACAGCTAGTGAATGTCTGAGGCAGGATTCAAACTCAGGTCTTCCTGACTCTAAGTCCTATACTCTGTCCACCCTGCCACCTCATTGTCTCCTTGAAAATGAGAGAGTAAAATTAAAGTGACTTCTGAGATCCCTTCTAGTTCCGGATCTGTTTAGTTAGATATGATAGACCTCTGGAGAAAAATTGAATGGAGATAGAAAGGAATATGCCTTTTTCTCAGTGGTACGTGGCACCAGTACAAAAGCTGACCATGTATAAGGGCATAAAAACCTCATAACCATATGCAGAAAGGCAGGAATATTAAATACATCCTTTTCAGATCACAATCCAATAAAAATTACATTTAATAAAGGACCATGGAAAGATAGGTTAAAAATTAATTGGAAACCAGCTCCAGATTTATGATCCTATGAGTGCCAGACTCAGGAAGAGCTGAGTTCAAATCCCAGTTTGGATGTTTCTTAGCTTTGTGAGCCATAGATGGACAAGTACCTTCATTTCTCAACCTCTTCAGCTGTAACATGACACCTATAGCATTCCCCCTCACTGACTTGTTGTGAGGCTCGAATGAGATCGTGTATGTAAAGTGCTGTAGTGACAAGAACATTTATTAAGCACTGACTGTGTACCAGAGGCTGTGCTGGGTCTTGAGGAGATAAAGACAAAAATAGAAGGATGGTGCCTGCTTCCTAAGGGCTCATATTCCACGATACTTCACAGGCTAGGGAGAGAGTCTGGCTGCCCCTCCCTGGTCTCTGTCACCCATAAAAGTTTTGCTTCCGGGTTCAGCCTTGGCATTGTGTGCACCCACAAAGCCCCTCCCTCCCTTCTCCTTGCCTTCTGCCCTGCCCCTTTTCCCTTGCCGCCTTTATTTATGACCTGACCGAAAGAACAGAGAGCAGTAATAAAGAAATCATCGTTCCAATTTCTTTGAAATTGAACCAAGTGGGAAGAGAAATAAGATGCCGAGTCTATTGAATACCCTTCTAGTCTGGTGTCAGATTGCCTCTGGCCCTGCTTATTCTTGGGCCCCTCGTCACAGGCTTGTTTTTCATGACTTACGACCTGGGACATTTACCAAGTATTTTCAGCTTCAAGCTTGGGGTGAAGAAAAAAATCTTGATGAAATGAACAAAGGCCTTCCCTGGTTCAAAGCCCTTTGAAAACGCCGAGCTAAACATCGGTGTGTTATAGCATGTTATTATCAATAATAATCACTGATATTTACATTTACATAGTGTTTAAAGTTTGCGGTGTTTCACCCTTCAGTGTCTGCTCATCTCTTCCTTACAACTACCCCATGAGGAAGGCATTACAGCTATTAGTATCCCTATTGTGCAGATGAGGAAACTGAGGCTCAGAGAGATTAAAATGACTTGCCCAAGAGCACACAGCTTACCACTGCAAGTATCAAAAGGAAAATTTGAACCCAAGTCTTCCTGACTTCAAGTTCAACAATCTGTCCACAACTTCACTCCCCACCACTTGCCGCCATTTTCACAGACAAGGAAGTGGCACCCCACACAGCTATTAGCACTTGCCTTTTCAACCAGCAGCAGAAACTTCATCATTGACAAATGGCAAGTCTCACCGGGAATGTGCCCTGAGATGATTATTTGGGAGGAAAAGATTGTAAGTTCTTTAAAACAGCTCAAGTATTATAGGAATGCTAGCTGCCATTAGAATCACCATCATTTGTATTATTATGGGGCAGCTAGATGATGCACTGGATAGAGCTCTGGGCTTGGAGTCAGGAAGATCTGAGTTCAAATCCAGCCTCAGACTCTGACAGAGAGCAGTAATAAAGAGGTGGCACTGGCTGTGTGACCCTGGGCAAGTCACTTTTCCCTGTTTGCCTCAGTTTCCTCATCTGTAAAATGAGCTGGAGAAGGAAATGGCAAACCCCTCCAGTATCTTTGTCAAGAAAACTCCAAATGAGGTCATGAAGATTTGGACATGACTGAAACAACCCAGCAACAATGACTATTATTATTGGTGGTGGTGGTAGTAGTAGTAATAGTGGTAGTAGTAGTAATAGAAGTAGTAGTAGTAGTAGTAGTAGAGGCATACACAAAGAGAAGCAATATCATATAAAGGACAGAGCACAGGATCTGGAATTAGGGTTACATACACATTCATAGTCTTTTAAAATAGTAGTGATAGACTGAACTTTTTCAAGTTAATTAGTTGACCCTGGGGAGAAAATAATACTCAACTGAAAAAAAATTATGATATTGTGCTATGAGAAATGATGAGCAAGGGGACTTCAGGAAAACCTGGGAAGACTTATATGAACCGATGCTGAATAAAATGAGCAGAACCAGGAGAACGTTGTACACAGTAACAGCCACGTTGTGCGATGACTGACTTTGATAGACTTAGCTCTTCTCAGCGATGCAAGGATCTAAGACAACTCCAAAAGACTCACGATGGAAAATGCTACCCACATCCAGAGAAAGAACTATGGAGTCTGAATGCAGATTGAAGCATACTCTTTGCTCTCATTTTCTTTTGTTGTTCTGTTTTATTGCTTCATTCTCATGGTTCCTCCCATTAATTCTAATTCTTCTATACATCATGACTAATATGAAAATATGCTTAATATGAATGTATAAGTAGAGCCTATATCAGATTGCATGCCGTCTTGGGGGAGGGGGGAAGGAGAGAGAGGGGAGAAAATTTAAACCTCAAAATCTTAGAGAAGTGAATATTGAAAACTAAAAATAAATTATTTTTTAAAAAAAGGAAAAAAATATGGAAATTCTTAGTGTTGGTTGTAATTTTTCATTCTGTGTCCTCAGTTCCTTTAGATCAGCCTGAGATATGGGGTTCTGTCCAACCAATGAATCCAAGCCTCGAGTCTCCAAAGTTAACAAGACCTTTTCCCACTGGAAGTAAGTTAAGCATCTGGTTTGTCTGGAAAAATGTGACTCATTTTATATTGTCTGCCCAGAGAACTGGAAAGCTGCCAGAAACTCTGAGCTCCTTACTGATGCTGCCTTAATATTAAGGAATCTATGTAATGTTTAAGGTATGCTTTAGCTTAATGGGGCCTACAGCAAGGAAAAGAAGATTTCCTCACTCCTGGCCAGCCCTCCAGCCAGGGAAGGGGAATCCACTGACTTCAGGGCGTCTCCAGGCTATGCCCCAGGATGACAATGCCTCACAATAAGACCTTCCCCTATGGAGCACAGAGCTAGAGAGAGCCTCAGTTTTCTTGGTATAGAGAAGTCCCAGGTGAGGAAACACCCTCTTCCACTGCAGGTCTGCACTTTTTGTACAGCTTAGAATCATAGCGTGGCCTAGAGCACTCAGATTCAATGACATGCCTAGGATCACACAATGCCAGAGTCAGACTTGAACCCAGAGCTTTCGACCTTCTCTGCTATGCCCCAGAGAGCACAGACAGTACAATAACTCTGTCCTGACCCAGTGACTGAAGCTTCAGGTGCTGGGCAAGATGCACAAGACTTGTAGATTCACCAAAGGAAGAATCACAGAATTTTAGATTTGCAAAGAGTTCAAAGTCCACTCAGCCCGACCTGTGGTCAAACAAGAATCCTCTCTATGATGCACCCAAGGGGTAAACCGGCCTTGGCTCAAAGATGGCCTTCTGTGAGGCCAAGCCCATGACCTCCAAGGATGCCCATTCCAATTAGCTGGGCTACAAGCACCTATGAAGGGCCCAGCCTTTTCCAAGTGTCATGGTAGGTATTGGGGCTACAAAGCCAAAAAAAAGTCCCTGCTTTCAAGACTTTGGGGATGGTTCTAATTAGGAAATTTTTCCTTATGTGAACTCTAACTCTGCTTCTTTTCATCAAATCAGAAGGAGTAGTATCCCTACACACACACACACACACACACACACACACACACACACACACACCCAGCCTCATTCCACTCCTCTAGGGGACATGGTGTTCAACATCTTTGATCTTTACAATCACATTGCAGGTAGAGTCCAGAATTCTTGCCAGTATACTAGCAATCTCAAAATCTAACCAGCTGCTCCAACAGAACTGAAACTAGGAAGACAAGGAGGCACTGAGCAGAGGTCAGAATCCTCAGGAAATGGAACAGCTCCTCAGTAGCTTACTGGAAATCGGTCTAGAGATTTCCTCACCTCCCACCTCTCTGTCTTTGCACAGGCTGTGCCCCATGCTTGAAATCTTCTCCCTTCTCATTTCTGCCTCCCAGAATCCCTGGCTTCCTTCAAAACCCAGCCCAATGCCAGCTCCTGAATGAGGTCTTTCCTGATCCAACCTCCCCACACACACATATACCCCAAGATGTTTGTGCTCTCTTTTTAAAAATTAGCTGTATTTACTTAGCTACATGATGGTATATGTCCCCTAATTTCCTGCAAGACTGAACTTCAGTGCCATCTTCTATAAATGGTCTTTACTGGTGTCCCCAGCACCAATAGTCCCCACTAGAAATTACTTTGAATTAATTTTGTGCATAACCTGTATTCACTTACCTGTATGCATTTTTTTCCTCCCCAGTAGAATATAAGCTCCCTGAGGTCAAGGACTATTTTGTTTTTGTCTTTGTACCCTCAGCACCTATCTCAGTGCCTTGCACAAAGTTGATACTTTTTAAATGTTTGTTGAGTTTAATTACATTGAAGAGAAAGGTTTCCATGATATTGGGGAGAATGGAGAGCTAGGCTGGCCTGAAAGATGGGGCTCCATGACACCTCAGCCACCCCTACCATGCTCATGGCAGCTCTAATTACCTCATATTCCACCCATGTTCCAAGCAAAGGTGACAAGTTGAAAGCCCAGAAAACCCCCCTGGACTGCAGGTTCTTTTCCTGTGAGATGATGAGGTTGAACTCGATAGTCTTCGAGGTCATCTTCAGCTCTAAATTTTATCAGCACTTACAGCAGTACCCAGCACATAGTAGGTGCATCATAAATGTTTGCTGGAGCCATCATCCCCAAGCTGAAGTTAGGTTTGTCACTGGGAGAAAGTGAAGAGCCACACCATGGAAGGTCGATGGAGCCCTCCCATCCTCTCTTCTCCTTTGTCTGAGCCTGCCTGAAATAATGGAAAAGGAGGGAGGAGAGAAAACCATGGACAAGAGTCCAGAGGGGAAGGAACAACTGGGAGCATACTTCAAATCAATCAGCTTTTATTAGGCACTTGCTGTGTGCCAGCCACTGTGCTCAGTGCTTGCTGACTGACTGACAAACTTCAACCAGTCTGGGAGCTACTCAAAGACCTTGTGGGTGGATTCTAATGCTTGTTTCAGTTTATAGTGTATACCAGTTCTATATTTAGAAAGTGTCCATGCCGATCAGCAGGATATGAGGGAAAGTGGGTGATGTGAGGGCTCTCCTTTGTGGTCTCCAACCACTCATACTTTGGGTTTTGAATTAGAGCCAGGTGAGTTGGAGCAGTCAACACCTCTTCCTGCTGCTCTTCCAGAATGACCCTGGTTCCCTTGTCCACCTGCAAATACCTAAGTAACATGGAGAAGCAGACCTCCCAGCCTGGGCTCTCCAAGGGCACTCCCTGAAGAGCACCAGCCCCTGACAGCATCCTTAGGGCTCTGCAACAGGATTCCACTTCCTAGGGAACATGGGCGATCCATGAACAGGCATTTATTAAGCACCTGCTGTGTACAAGGCACTGCCCTTGGTACTAAGGATTCAAAGACAGTCCGTCCATAAGGACCTTGCAGTCTAGCCAGGGGAAGACAACATGTGTGTCTATCAATCAATCATCTGTCCTACATACCTACATATCTATCATCTGTCTATCCATCCATCCATCCATCTACCTATCTATGTATCTGCCTACCTACCTATATCTATCCATCCATCTTTCTATCTACCTATTTATCCATCCATCTATCTATCAGGCTGTCTAGTGCCTTCCCTTTGTTAATTACTTCCCATTTGTCCTATATATAGCTTGATGTGTGTGTGTGTGTATATATATACATATATATATACATATATATCATATGTTTGCCATCATGTTGTCTCTTACCTCTTAGATTATACAATTCTTGTTGGCAGAGACTTTTGCCTCTTTTTACATCCTCACAGCTTAACAAAGTGCCTGGCACATAGTGGGTGTTCAATAAATGTTAATAGGGGCAGCTAAATGGTGCAGTGGATAGAGCACCAGCCCTGAAATCAGGAAGACCTGAGTTCAAATCTGGCCTCAGACTAAACACTTGCTAGCTGTGTGACCCTGGGCAAGTCACTTAACCCCAATTGCCTAAAATATAAATAAATAAATAAGTGTTAGTAGATCAATTGATTATTTATATATATGTATGCATACATATATACAAAATAGATTGTTGTATCAAATAAGATGAAAAAATCAGATTTAAAGATTACCCAGGAGCTGAGGAAGATATACTGTTACAAAAATAATCCATTTTTCCCATCTTTTAAAAATTAAAGATAATCTGGAAGAAGCCACTAACAGCTAGAGAAACAGGAAAGCCTTCATGTAGAAAGCAGTGCCTGACCTGAGTCTTGAACAAAACAAGGAGTTCTGAGAAGTCAAGGTGAGGACGGAAGGCACACCAGGCACAAGGAACAGCCAGTGAAGGGACACGGAGAGGAAGGATGGCATGCCATACATGAGAAACAGACCTGTTTGGCTGAACTACAGAATACATAATTGAAGGGGAGGGAATTCAACTCAATAAGCATTTATTTTCTTTTTTTCTTCCTCTTTTTTTTTTGCTAGACAATGGGGTTAAGTGACTTGCCCAAGGTCACACAGCTACTAAGTGTTATGTGTCTGTGGCCGGATTTGAACTCAGGTCCTCCTGAATCCAGGGCCGGTGCTCTATACACTGCACCACCTAGCCTCCCCTCAATAAGCATTTATGAAGCACTATGTGCCAGGCACTGTGCGAAGTGCTGGGGATACAAAAAGGGGCAAAAGGCAGTCCCTGCCCCCATGGAGCTTACAATCTAATGGAAAATATATAAAAAGGGGAAAAGGTAGCTTTGAGCTTTGGTTGTGAAGGGCAAACTAGGAAGCCCTGTCCTGAGTCAGTCAGTGACCAAAGCAAGGCATAAGAGACTTATAGGAAGGGAAAAAAGCAGCTAAATCATCCATGGCAGCAGAAGAGTACCCATTTCACCCAGCTCAGAACAGTGTCTCATATTGTGCCTCACTCAGGAGGGAGTAGACCACAAACAAGCATTTTGGTAAAGACATCTCCTGAACTTTGGGATACCTTGAGAGGTTATTCTGAGCCTTTTGAGTCTGCCAAATATGGTGGGGGAGCAGGGATGAGGGGGAAGGTTTCATCACAAGAGAGTAGGTGTGAGGTATTTGGTTTGACCTAAAAGAGGGCATTTCCATGTTGAACAGTACTTTTCTTTTTTGATGGGCCAGGGCATGGAGGGTCATACCTGCCTGTGGAAGGGGAGTCATCTGATATTTTTTTGAATGTCAGCGATTGACTGGATGACTCAAATGTCCACTCAAGGACCAGGTTGGGCCTTACTAGGTTGAGATCATTTTCCTTCTGCTTATGTATCCAGCCTTAGCTGAATATCATGGGGATCTACTCTTTCAGCTGCACAGATACCTCATCCACCATAGCCTGAAATCCCTCCATACCTTCAATGGTTTTCTGAGTTACCATGGCCAAAACCAACTCCTTCCCTGGTAGCCATTCTCCATTCTCTTAGCATTTAGCTGGGCTGGTTCACAAGTAGCAAGACAGGCCCTCCATCACCAGGCTCTTTCCTTTTAGCCTTCCTTGCTTGGCAGAAATTTGCAGAGCCTTTGAGAGTGCAGGATCACCCCCCACACCACAATGGGGCATCAGAGGGGAATGTCAGTGACTATATGTAACATGGGAAGTTATAAGGATCTTCCAATTTACATCATAAATCAATGGAGTGTTTGACAGGCTCCTTCCTATGCAACCTTTTCTCCATCTTCTAGGAATATCTCCTCTGGTTAGTGAGTCCCTAGCCTGGACCATTTCAGGAGGTGCCCAAGCTCCTCCTGGCTCACTCCTAGATCCTCTCTTGACTGTCTGGACTTTTCTACCCTGACCCCAGAAGCCCCCAGACCTTTATTAGTTTCCACTTTCCAGCTTCATTTTATGTATGGCCTTCCCTATTAGAATGTAAGCCCCTTGAGGGGAGGGACTGTTCCTTTTGTGTGTAATCATATTCTCAGTGCTTAGAGCAATGCCTGGCTCATAGTAAGCACATCATAAATGCTTTATCTGTCTGTCTACCCTCTCTTCTCCATCCATTTTTCTTTTTAATAGTTAAATTAAAACTTGCTCTTAGAGCTACCCATCACAGGAAAGGACAGCCTTAGAAGATAGTAGATTCCCCCACTACCAGAGGTCTTCAAGCAAAGGTATGGTGGTCACTAGCCACGTACGTTGTGGTGAGCATTCTTCTGGGGAGATAAGTTGAACTAGATGGCCCTTCTAATTCTGAGTCTGGGTTTAACCCAGCCGTGGAAAGTCCATGAGAAAACAAATGTGGAATAGGGCCTTTGCCAGTCACTCACCTACCAAAATGTGGTTCCTGGGGCCATCAGGGATCCAAGACCATCTGCAATTTTCTTTGGCATTTGTGCACCCGACACTTTCCACTGACCTAATGTTGGCAGCGCTGATCTGGGAGGAAACAGACAAGGTCAACGTTCTGAGCCTTCCCGTGTGAAAGAATTCAGTGTTCTACCTTGAAACACTTACATTCGGGAACATCAGCTTCTTCTCTATCTCTTCAAGGGCAAGAACGGGCTGGACATAAACCCACTTTTTGAGACAAAGTATACTGGTTTCCTGGTGCAGACGCTGCTCATTAACGGCCTTCGTCTTCTCTCTTCACAGCACCTCCACCTTTGCCTCCTAAAAACGTACCAGCAACCCCACCCCGAACCGGCTCTCCTTTGACAGTGGGACCAGGTAAATTAAAAAGAGATATTTCTCATTTGAGAGTAGAGAGTAATTGAGAGCATTGACTCTTTAAGAAATAAGCCTATGTTTTCTGGGTGTGTCGGAATGTCTGGGGTTTGACAAGGATGAATGTGTATACATTTGGTTCAGTTCCATTATGTGTTTTGTCAATATGGAATTGTACTTTATGCTTGGCATTTCCTTTCTGCAGGAAATTGTATCTGCTTAAAAAAATTAACGTTCTCCCTTTTCTTTCTGTTTTTGTTATCATTGAGCCATTTGAAAGAGAGAAGGGATGCTTTCTCTGATAATACTCGAGAAAAATCTTTGTCCAAAGAAAGGGAGGGGGGAGCATGTTTTAATTTGGTGCCCAGTTTCCTTTGTTTTCATGTCAGTATTTTAAAATTTCATGAGGTCTCCTAAGACCCAGACTTTGTTTTCGTTTTTCAAAAGCCAGTGAGATTGGTAGCAGACTTAAACCCGTCATGTGCAGATGGAGGTGGGATGTGCTCTGGGGATGGCTGAGCTCTCATGAAATGTGCATGGTAAAAGATTTTTTTTCTCCACTAGTTTTTGAAACAATTATATCTCAAAGCCAGCAGATCAGAGGCGGCTGAACCATGACCAAGAGCAGGGGAGGCCGGAAGGCCTTGTAGGTCCCATGGCCAACAGAGATCTACAGCTCTCACCTACTTTAATCAATGCTGCGTATTCATGAGCGGTCTCCTGGGCCTTGGTTGATCCAACTCCCAGGTCGTAGCTGCTCCGTGTTATTTGGAGGCCTCTGTCAGCTTCGTCATTCCAACGTGGTTTCCTTTGGGGCACTTTATGCAGCCCACAGACTCTGACCTTTTGTTGATCGGTAGGAGCAATAAATCCAATCTGTGATAGGCTCCCTGACTGACCATCTATTTCCTTGTGTTTCTCAGAAGGGAAGTTTTTGTAAACCCCATCCTTTCTCTTCTCTTTTTCTCTTCTTCCCCACTCCCTAAGATTCATACAGCAGGTCCATGCAGCAGTGTCCAGGAGACAGAATTATAAATGTCAAGGATTGTTGTCTATTTCTCTAAAGCATTAGGAGCTTGGAAAGAGTCATTCCTGATAAAACTATTTAGAACCTGAAGTAAGCAGGGCTAGCCTCTTAGTTTTACAGATGAAAAGACTATGGCCCAGAAGAGTTAATGGTCACACACTGAGTAAGTAGCAGAGTCAGGGTTGGGTTCCAGGCCCTCTGACCCCAAATCTAGCATTTTCTCCATTTTTCCATACTACTGCCAAGGCTTACGTTTCCAGAACTGTACAATAGATAAGAAATCTACCATTCTTTTTGCCAAGATCCGTCTATGACCTCTGAAAGCTCATTAACACATCTTGGGCAGGTCACTCGCAATATCAAATGGACCTTGGTTTTATCATTTGAAAAAGAGGCCAAACTTCTGAGAAAACTGTTGCTATTGACTTCTCAGGAAGGAGTCGGGTATTGGAGTTTTCTTTCATTACTGTGTTAAGTCAGAAAAATAAAGAAATAAATTAAATTAAATAGATAGATGAATGAATAAAGAAATGAGTAAATAAATAAAGGCAAGAGGGATGGATGGGAGCCCAAATTTCAAAGGAAAACATGAGCATTTCCCTCCATTGACTTTTCATGGCTCCATTTGGTAACTATCATTCTGTTCCCAGGTCAGACTTGCAGAGGGAAATAAATAGTAAATGATTCCTGAGTTTTTGCTTCACCAGTAGGTGCTGTGTTTCCCATCTGAGGCATAGGACCAGGCTGATATCCCTAGGCCCGGGAAATGTGTGTTTGTAATACCATCATGCCATCCCAGTCATTTACATGAATGTGTAAATGTCCCTTTGTGCTAACTTGGGACTTGCTATGTCTGGTTCAGGCATTCAGGTCTAGGGATCGTGATCTTTAAATAACTGAGTGGAAGAGACTGTAGCATGAGATGAGATTCCATGTGCCCCACCTTCCAATGTGAGGCGTTAGACTCATTTTGCAAACTGCCCCAGGAGGTTTGGTTTTAGGGGTTGATGGCATGAAATCCTAGCCTTAGAGGTAGACTTTGAAGGTCTTCTGATTCAACCCCTACATTTTAGAGATGAAGAAACTGTAGCCCAGGGAGAGGATAAGTGGGCTGTCCAAGGTCGCATGGGCAGTAAAAATAATCAATGTTTAAAAATCTAAAATGGATAAGATTTATGTAGCACTTTAAATTTTATGAAATGTTGTACAGGTAGATGATTTCATTTGAGACCCAAAATAACCCTTTCAGGTAGGTGCTAATATTATCCCCATTTTACAGATAAGAAAATTGAGGCAGAGATTAAGTGACTTGCCCAGGGTCACACAGCTCCTAAGGGTTAGAGAAACCAATGAGCATTCTACTTATCAGTACATACTCTACTTGCAACGTACACATTTCTACCGGTTGTATGGTCCAAGTATCCCCCTGCGGGATGGGTTCCCATTCAGTTCTATCCAGCGTGTATAGAAGTTATCTCCAGGCCTAACAACGATGCCTTCCCAAGATGATGATACTGGTTATTGTCCATGAAGTATAGAAACACTTCCTACGCTGAAGAAGGAAAGGGGTGGACAACTCATGGTGAAGACGATGCTTTTCCTGTGCCTTATTGTAAATATCACAGGGAAATAGGATGTCCAGGGGACAAGAGGTTGCCTGATAAGAGGCAAGGACCTCCCCCTTCCCCAGTCCCTCCCACCTTCATCTTCAATCCACGGTTAGGAACATAAAATACATCCCCATTTATGTCACTGAAAAGAGACAGTATGGTGTGCTATGTTCACTAGACACTGTAGAGAGCTGGCCTCAGAGTCAGGGCGACCCAGGTTCAAGCCTTGGCCCTGTTAGCTCTTGGCTGTGTGACCCTGGACAGATCATTTAACTTCTCAAGTTTATGTTTTTAGGAGTGGTCCATACTGATGAAATCACAAGTCTGATCTCTACCCCCAAAAAAGGTCAGGCTCAAGAAAATTTGGCTCCAGCTCTCTTCTCCCAGGGCGTAGGTAATTTCCCCCTACCCCATGTAGAAGATAGTGGTAAAACTCAATGTTAAAGTTTTAAACCAACTCCTTTGACCACAGGCAGTGAACAGACCCCACACGAGGTCAAAGGTGAGAAACTACCATCCATCAGTGATTTGGACAGCATTTTTGGCCCAGTTTTGTCCCCCAAGTCTGTGGTCGTTAACACAGAAGAAAAGTGGGTCAATTTTTCTGATGCATCCCCGGAACGGGTCACTCCAGAGTTGACTTCAAGGGAAAAGGTGGGGTCCCCACCGCTGGTGTCAGAAAACCCAACTGACTCCCCAGCTGTTGACCCTCCACGAAGCATTCCATCGCCACTTGATTTAGAAGAGGTTCAGAAGAAGTTTTCTGAGCAGACCCTCGGAAAAGATGATAACTTAGAAACAGTCGCATCTCCTAAAGATTTTGGGGTGGGCCAAAGAGCTACACCACCTCCCCCTCCACCACCCACCTACCGGACTGTGGTATCGTCACCCGGACCCAGCTCAGGCAGTGGGACGGGAACCGCCAGCGGTACGTTTGTCTGACTGTGTGCGTGTGCTCTCCGTGTGCTGGTGAGCTGCTATGCCTTCCATATTAGCAAGCCCCTGTTAGCACCCATTGGATGCCTTTGGAGCATCAGACTTTTTTTTTTCATTTTTTTGGGTGGGGGTTGAACTGTGCCCCAGTGATGTATCCATTTTGAGTGCCCTCCACCATGATCCAGGTCAAGTTTATAAATATACTGTTCTCTTAACCCCATCTCAATTAGAGATCTGCCATCATAGAGTGTATATCTTTTCTGAGAAGTCACCAACTGCATCCCAAGAAACGTCAAGGAAAGCTACAATTATCAGTGGGCATGATGTCTCACTGACAAATGGATGGTTTCCTTGACAGATAGACCACATAAGAATCTACATATTTCTTAATATTATCATTGTTATTGTTGTTGTCAATAACCATGCTAGCTCCCATTTATGTAAAGCTATTACATAAAGGGCTATTACATATATTCTCTTTCTTCATAAATAACCTTTGAGGGTGAATATTTTAGGTATTTCACCCCATTTGACAGAGCTGGAAACTAAGGCTGAGAAATTAAGAGACTTGTCCTTGGTCATACAGCTAGTCAATGATAGACTTGGAACTCAAGTCTTTTGATTCTCATTCTTCTTGTATCTTCCTAAACCAAGAAGGAAAATTTTTAAGGGAGAATTGAGAGAATGGGGATAGGACAGATGACTTATTAAACACTTTTACTTTTCAAGCTACTCCCTTCCAAAAAAAAGTATATTCTCTGAGTATATAACAAGCAGTGATGGTAACTAAAAGTATATGACACAAGGGAAGAAAGTTCAACGTATATGTAATCTTTGAGACTCGCATGCAAAATCTGGCATTGGATTTCATCTGGGTTAAATTGTGGTTGTAGAGTTAAAAGAAAATTGCTTGTGGTTCCGAAACAGAAAAAAAAAAATAGAAGAATTTGTTGTGCTTTTTCTGGAGATATCAGATTTTTTTTTCTGATGCATATTTTCCACCTACCCCATTCCATTGCTGCTTGAGCTTGGCTAGTTGGCCTCCAGGGCCTGTTTTGTGGCGTGTGTGCACGCATGTGCTCGATATTGCTTGGTTCTGTGTAGGAGCGCTCCCTCACAGAAGATGGCATGGTTTGTCATCTTTTGCAGTGTGTTCTAAAAGGCTAATCATGTGTCTTAAGTTTTTAAGCCCCAAGGAGATTGGTGGCTGAGGGTGGTCAGTATGGTCTGTCCACTCAAATTCTAACATTTCAATGACCATTTCAGCTTCTTTTCATAGTGTATCTTTTAGTACGCTTTCTGCTTACAAGCTCCTCTTTGCTGTAGAAGAAAAAAATAGAAGCAAAAAGGGTAAAAGTTCATAGAAGAAAATCTCAGCTTGATAGAAGGAATGATAGGCGAGCCAGAGAAAAAGGGGGTGCATTGAGAGGTCATGGGTGGTCCCTCATTGGAGTTCTTCAAGTAGAGACTGGTCTCTACTTGTCCACTTATCCATGTGGATGATGGGATAAAGGAGGGTCTTAAGAGTTCAAGCATGAGATAGAGAAGTCAGGACCTGAGATCCCTCCCCATCTCTGAGATTCTGAGATCAGGAGATCAGAGAGCAGCAGTAGCCAAGACAACTAGGGAAAAGAACTGGAATTTCATTTTCCTCAACAAAATCTACCCTAAAATGGAACTGTTTAGTTTATAGGATCCTGGTTAGAGCACCATGGAGTATCTCTGTATACCACAATAATAATTTTAGTTCTTTCAAGATTATAATAGCACTTTATCACATTCTCAATGACATTAGAAATAGCAGTACTTTTGCATTTACATAATAATAATAACTACCATTTGCATAGAGCTTTTACTTATAACATAAGTTTACTTATCTTCTATTTTATTTACTTATAAGTACTTTACTGATATTATCTCATTGGATCCTCATAATCTTGTGAAGTAAAACCTATTATTATTTCCATTTTATAAATAATGAAACTGAGGCAGAAAAAGGGTAAATCATTTGCCCAGGGTCACACAGCTAGTGTCTGAGGCAGAATTCAAACTCAAGTCTTGGTGACTGCAAATCCAAAACTCTATCCACTATGCCACATAGCTGCCCACTTGCCTAAATGGCTACATCACAACTTTGAAGAACCTGTTGTGACCTGAGGGCCACAGGTTGGCCAACCCATTTTAAAACACAGAACGAATAACTGAGCATACAAATGGGAGAAGCAGGTTTTGTTCCATGCATTCCTGGAGCATTGTTCAGGGTCAGACTGACAGTTACCTGAAGGGGATCTTCACATGTTCCTGCCATTAGTCTACCAATGTGTAAAAAACATGTCAACTTTCTGATGTTGACTGGGGTGGCCATCCTTCCATGGAAGAGTTTTGAAGTTCAGTCTTTATTTTTTATCTGAAAAACTGTTACTATTAAAAATATTGATTCTTAATCATTGAGCTGTATAAAAAAAAAAACCCTACTCTGGTGCTATTAGGGGACAGCGTTACTAAGTGGGATATGGAGCGGTGCCCATGAAGCCCATGAATAAATAAAACTTTGCTCCATAATCCCTTTAATTAAGTCCCAGTTTATTTGCTTCTTAATCTTTTATTGATGCAACATACATTGAGCTGGCAGAAATGTGAATTTTGAAGTAAAGCAACAGGATACAGACTCTTATTTTAAAGACTGAGATGCACACTGCCCAACATTAGGACAATAATTGGGTGCATTTGATTTTACACATACATCCTTTTCCAACAACAATTGAATGTCATTGTGTTTCTTTTGATTTCATCTTGCCTAACTCCACAGGAAGGTGATGGGTGACAAGAAGATATAGAGAGCACTGTCAGATCTAGAAAAGGAAGCCATTCATAAAGGCCTTCTGGGTAGAGAGAACTTGTACCGGAAGAAACTTGTTAATATTATTCTTATCATTGGCTGTCATCCTACCTTGGTACTATGGGGATGGGAAAGAGAATCTAGGCTCTTGAAGGCAGTGCAAGCCAAGTGTAAGGTCTGAAAGGATTGTTTCATTCTTTATCTTTGAACAGTGCCTAGCACATAGTGGGTGCTTTATAAACGCTTGTTGATTGATTGGCAGGTTCTACCAAAGTAGAAAGGCTGTGAAGATGATAAGAGGCAGGCAGCATGGTGTAGTGGATAGCATGCTAGACCCAGAGTCGGGAATACCTGTATTCAAATTCTACCTCTGGTACATACTACCTGAGCAAACCTCTAAACTCTCTCAGTCTCACTTTCCTCATCTGTAAAATGAAGAGGTTGTATCTGATGACATCTAAGCTCCCTTCTAGCTCTAAATCTATGTTTCTATGACCTGGTGACAGACTATAGATCGGTGTGAGGAACCTGCAGCCTGGAGGCCACATGTGGCCTTCTGGGTCCTTGGGTGCAGCCTTTTGACCAAGTCCAAGATTTACAGAACAAATCCTTTTATAAAGGAGATTGGTTCTGTGAAGTTTGGATTCAGTCAAAGGTCTGCGCTTGAAGACCTAGACAGCCACATGTGGCCTCCAGGCTGCAGGTTCCCCACTCCTGCCATAGATCCATCTTCAAGGACCATCCTAGTTAAATACTGAGAGACTCATTACCAGGCGTACAAGGTGATAAATTTCCTCTCACATGAGAAACTCCTGCAGATATTCTACTAGGATACGGAGACAAAGGTTGGCGGAAGAAACACCCTCACTGATAAAACCATTTATCCTTAATCATCGAGCTCTTAAGACTTTAATCAATAGGCATTGATTAAGTGCCTATTCCTGTGCTAGACATGGAAGAAGTATTACAAAGACAAAACTGAAAGAGATTGCCTTCAAGGAGCTTACATTCTACCAGGGGAGAAACATAAGTACATCTCTAAAAACATGCAAAATTAATAAAATGCAATTGGAGGGTGGAGGCACCCCCAGCCAATGAACATCAGCAAAGGTTTCATGTGGAAAGGGTGCCAGAATAGAGTCTTGAAGAAAAACAGAAATTCTATGTAATGTAGTATTATATCATATTAGTACATATTATTAGTGATAGCAACTGGCCCCATGGTTTTATTGGTACAAGGAATGGGATCCCAGGTGAAGAGCTTTTCTAGCAATACAGGTTGGCATCTTCTCTGCAATGTACACTCTCAGAGAGTCACCTCTAGCCCTAGAGCTGAAAGGCCTTGCCAAGGGTCTCATGGTGGTATGTGGCACGGGTGAGACTTGAACTCAGGTCATCCTGGTTTTGAGGGCTGCTCCCTCCATCCACTCCACCATTCTGCCTGCCATAGAAATTATCATTAACAACTATTGCTGTGGCTGTTGTTATTAACACCAATTAATGTTAATTAATAATAATTATTATTGTTAAGAATAACTCACAATTATATAATTCTCTAAAATTTGCAAAGAATTTTGCTCATCACAACCCTTTAAAATAGACAATTTAAGCATTGACACCCCCATTTTATAGATAAGGAAACTGAGACTCAGAGAAGTGCATCAGTCTTACCCAGCTTATGGCCATGTTTTATAAATATGTGCTTTGAGCCTACTTCCATTTCAAGCAACTCCCCAGGGCAAATATTGACACTCTGGGGGAAAGAAATCTGGGAATGTGACAACTGGCCGATAGCAGGATTGCAATACATCCTCAGCGTGTAAAGTATTTTATCCCCATCCTTCTCCTCACCTGGTCTTTATCAGCACCATCACTGATTGTCTCGGCCATCCATCACTGAAATGGCTGGCTGGCTATCAGCAGTGGGGATGGGATTCTCAGGGATTCCTATGGAAATAAGGATTGGGATCCCAGGCCTTGGGACCTGCAGAACTGTGTGCCAGCTAGGACAGGGATATTTCTAAACCTATTGAAAGTCCTAGACCTTCATTCATATTATAAAATAACCACCAAAATCTAATAATCAAGTATAAAGACTGTCCTGGTTACTTTCTGAGAAGATTCTTGGTAGTGAAGATACCACTGCAGGTAGAAGGTTAGGAAGGAATAGAAGTAATAATATCCTCAGGTAGACTTAAAATATTAAAAATATGAAAAAAATTGGAATTTCTAAGGAACATTCAAATTCTAATTCTATTTGAATGAATGAAAAGCATTTAAGTGCCAAATGTCAAGCATTGTGCAAACACCAGTGATACAAATGCAAAGTAATCATCCCTGCCCTCAGAGAACTTATACTCTATTAGAGGAAGACAACACTGAGAGGGCAGGGGTGTCCAAAATCACAGGAATGGGAAGTGGTGCCGTGGCACGGTTGTCCACATGCCCTTTCTGGAAGCAATGATTGCAATGATTTCATTGATCTGGTGCAGGCCAGGTGAGAATGAGTAGAGGAGTGGATGTGAATTCACCTAACCCCTCATATCTCACTGGCCCCAGGCCATCCTTCACATCCCTTCCAACTTTCCACCCCAGCTATCGTATTGCCATCTGTCCTAGCACTGTGTTCCCCAGACCTGGACCAAAGGGTAACCTTGTGAAATATTCCCCACAGTACCCTAGCCTGCTCTGGCTCCATGAGAAAAGCCCTGATCTAGAGGTTTACTCTCACATACCCAAAGGGATCTATGAGCCCACCAATTTGGGCATTCCTTCTAGCAATGCAAATTACATCTTATCCATAAAATTTCCTACTGCTTCTAAAATAATTTCTTAATAACTTCATTCTTTTTATTAATATATTAATATCCTACTTTGTTATTAATATGATATCTTACTTTGGAGGGGTACATTTTCTGAATCTCATAACAACCCTGTAAGGTAGATATTCCAAATATTATAAGCCCCATTTTACAGATGAGGGAACTGAAGATACAGTGATTTCCTCAGAGTCATACAGCTAATAAGTGTTTGGGTAGAGGGGCAGGGGATTGGAACCCAGGTCTTCCTGACTCCAATTAATGACCTTGTAGGTCAGCTAAGGATGAAGGGATGAAGAGTCAAACTGCGTGCTTGTGTTTTTTCTCTTCAATGGTTTCGTTGGTATCCAGCTGACAAACAAGCCTTCTCATTGAGAACCAGCTTTCAGTGTTCTACAGGGCTTTACTGAGATGCATTTTAAAATGTCACTATCCAGGGAGCATTTGAGAAAGGGGCATATAATTGAACTCCTTTTTTTCTGGCATGGTTTTGGAGTACCATTTCTTAAAAGAGAGAGAATGCGTGAATGAATTCCCTTTCATTCTATAAAAACAGAATAGAAAGAAAGAAACAAAAATACCAAATTATGACACCTCCTGATAAAGACGTTGCAGTTTATTCAATCCTTGTCTTTGTCTGTTGACTGTCAGCTGAAAACATTTGCTGCGTCAGATCAACCAATTACTGTAAAAGCCAAGGACAACTTTGCATCAGGCATTGGCAAAGACCCTTGGAAAATTTGACCTGAATTTTCAGTCATTGGCCAGAGATAAGGACACGTGGGGTAGAGAAAGATGGAAAAGAAGGTGATTCAGGCCAGAAGCGGTGCGACATACCCGCGGTTGCTACTATTGGTCGGCCCCCAACCTCTTGAGCCAATCTCGGAGGTCAACCAAGTCACCAACGTGAAAATTCACTGGTCTGTATTTGTGGGGGAAGTTTCTGATGCCTCCAAATCCCTCATCTGGCTCCATCACCCAATATAGGTTATGACTCTATGCCAGGCACTGGGCCAGACGCAGTTGGCACAAAGTCAACAATGAAACAACTCCTACCCTCAGGGAGTTTCCATTCTGTCAAGATATGTGTTACAGAGATAATCTATCTACATCACAAGAGATTTGGGGGCTTAGCTTCAGAACACTTTTTCTTAGTCTATGAAACTAGGCAATGAAGAATCAGTCTAGGAATCTCACAGACAGAGCCATAATTAGGACCAGGCAATCGGGGCTGTGCTCCAGGGCGCCCGATTTAGAGAGGATGAAATGAGAGGAGCCACAGTCCTTCAGGAACATAGGGACAAGAGAGCTTAGTGCAGTTAAATTACGAAACTGCCAGATTGGCGCTGAGATGAACAGTTCTCCCTGAGGGGGAGGCTTTTCCTCTTATACCACAGGGAATGTCCCACCCACTAGTACAGCAAACCACTTGCCCTTGGGATGGTCTGGTGGTCTCGCCCCAGGCCTAGACACTCCTAGTTAAGCCTCTCATTATTATTATGGGATATTATCATGGAATAAGAATAACTGATGATAATAATTTACATACATATGCAGCATGATGTAGCAGATAAAGCCTTGGATTTGGAGTCAGGAAGACTTGAATTCGAATCCATCACACATTTTTTGGCTGTGTGACCCTAGGAAAGTTACTTGACCTTTTTAGTGTCCCAGCCTCTCGTATGTAAAATGACCCTCTAGGGTCCCTTCTCACTGTCCATCTGTGGCTCTAGAACATAGTGTGATGTATGTATGGCCCTGGGCCGCATACTTAGCCCATTGGTGCTCTAGACAACTCTCTGTACCCAGAAGTTATGAGGAAGTGAGAGATCTCGATTGTTAAAGATGTTGTTCCTTGTGGATATCCCGGCACCAATAATCCAGAAAAAACAATCCCAGCACTTATATGGGGCTTTAGAGTTTACAAAGCACTGTGGGTATGTGGATGGGGCCATGGACACAGACTGTTGTGAAGATCAAATGCAGACATGCATGTATACACATGTTTTGTGTGTTTATAAATATGTACATGTGTTTTAGGTATTTGATCTTCACAATAATCCTGTGAAACAGGCACTGTTATTATCCAAATTTTACAGATAAGAAAACTGAAAAGGAAAGCGAGTCATAAGATCCTAGGTTTAGAGGGATGAAGGACCTTAGAAGTCACTGAGTCCAACTCCTTCCCCATTTTACAGATGAGGAAGGTAAAGGTTAAGTGACTTGCCCAGGGTCACACAGTACGTATCCGAGGGGGGATTCGAACTCAGATCTTCCTAATTAAAAGACCTGCTCCCTACTACATCAAACTGCATTCTGTCATATTTCTCTTGGGATGACTTCATGCTTATTACCCCAACTAAAACTAGGAAGTTCCAGAAAGTTTGGAACTGGGAAAGGGACCTTCTCTGAACCACATGAATGATTTGTTTAAGATGACTCAGCACATGAGATTGTTAGCTGAGCCTTTTGGGTAACCTTCAGGGGTGTGCTAGTAAATGTTTAACAACCAGCTCTTGGAGGGAGGGCAGGGATGTATGCCCAATAAGCTTTCACATTTGATCTGAACTATTAACATTTTCTCCATCATTTTCTAGATTCTAGAGAATCAACATGTCAATAAAGTATAACAGCTGGTTTATAGCATTTGTCAGTTTCAGAGGTATAAATGCTTTCATCAAAAATTTAACAATCAGCTCTCTCAAGCCTGTATGAGCTGGCTCCAGCACACCCCTGCCTGCACCACACAGATGGGACTTAAAATACTCAGAATCCCCAACTACACAAATTCTAGTGTGTGTCTGTGCACATCTCTGGCTTGTTGTATGCCTCGCCTTTTTCCTAATCGAATTGTCCTTGGCATCCTAAAAGGTAAATCCAATCAGAGCATGGCTGTTGGACAAGAGAGATGTCAGTTGATGGATTCTCTGATGGACTGACTTTGTAATCAATCAATCACTCATCTAAATCTGGGGTTACACCTGTGTTCCTGGTATACAAAAACCTTGTCAGGGATATGGTGACTTTGATAAATAATGACTGCAATGTTGAAATATTCCAGAAATTCCACAGTGATTTCCAGTCAATGAAGTTAAGTAATTTTTAATGTACCCTCAGAGAAGAAAAACTTATTAAGCTCTTTAATTTTTTTGTGATTTTCACGGTCAGCTCTAGCAATTCTGGAATATGTTTTCTTTTGTTTGACTGAAGGGGCATGGGCAGAGGGGTGTGGAAAGGTTTGTGGAGAGGCAAGAAGTACAGGAATTGAAATTTGGGAAGCCCCACCCTAGTTCGATATCATCATAGTGAAAGATTGCAGAGGGCAGTGGACAACAGACTAGCCTCAGAATCAGGCCGGCTTTGTGTGAGTAAATTCCTAGTCCAGTGGTCAGGGTTCTGTAAAGTCCCAAGCTCATCATAAGCTCCAGTAGGTGCCAGGCTGGGTGGGAGGCATTGGGATGCCAATGGGGTGATCGTCAGTATCTCCTCTCCAGAGGCCAGCCCAGCTACATTCCAGAAAGGTCCTCAACAGCTTGGCCATGCCCCCAGAGTAAGGATTTTTTCCATCATGGCAAATCCTCAAAGACCCTGAAACCTCACCATATGGGGGGATATTGGTGTCACTGGAGGGAATACCCATATGATGAGATCAGTGAAAGCAGAGGAGAACTTACTGAGCATGTGTGGACGGTATGTGTGGCAAAAAGGCCAGGTAGCCCCCAGCAAAAGAATTTTAACAAACGCTGTTCTGTCTGAAGAGAAAGCATAGGAGGAATTGCACTGTATAAGGTTGATTGGCAAGGCATTTTCTGTCCCATTATCTTTTGTCTGAGCTCTGTGAGGTAGGTAGTGTGATCATGCCCATTTGACAGATAAGAGCACTGAGGCTCAGTTCCTTCATGCTCCATTCTGGCAGAGGGTGGTGAGTTTCCGAGTTGACCATCAACCATAATTCAACCATGTGACTTTTGCCTTAAAAACACACCCATGACGGAGTTTGGAGCTTGGCGTTTGGTGTTGTGCTCTGCTTATGTGACAAGTGGCCTGCTGGGCTCTGGAAGTCGGGCAGGGAGAAGGGTCTGCATGTAGGGAGGATGCTTGGCTGCTTGTTGGGGGAGGCAGGGATGTCTGTGCTGCCCAACCTAAAGATGCCTAATTGTTTTTAGGAGCATCATCCCCAGCCCGGCCTGCCACCCCATCAGCCCACGGCAGCAGTGGGACCACACCACCACCTCCTCCTCCTCGGCCTCCATCTAGACCCAAGCTGCCTCCCGGGAAGCCCGGGATGGGAGACATGGTAGGTACCAATTTCCTTCTTCTTTTCTTAATCTTTGGTTTATCTCCATCAAAGGAGTAGTTGGAGGGGCTCAAAAAGGGAGGTGAGAAGTGGGCAAAACAAGGTGACTTAGGAAAGGAATGTCTGGAATTCTAATCTGACCCTTAGTAGCATTTTTACAATGATATAACATAGAAGTCCCTGGGAGATATGGAGGCAGCAGGATGTAAGGAGCAGAGAGGTGAAAGAGGTACCCAACATCCTCTGGGTCGGACTAGATGTCAGGCTGAGATCCCTTCTGACTCCAGCATTGTGTGATATATTTAACTGCTATTGAAAGAGTGAGAGGTCAAGTTGCAAAATGTAGGGAAATATCCAAGTGAATTATATTATAGGATGCTATTTCAAAGGAAATCCCATGATCTGTGAATATAACTTTTGGCCATTTTTCTTCTTGTTCCTACAGTCCAGACCTTTTAGCCCTCCCATACATTCTTCGAGCCCTCCTCCAATCGCACCCCTTGCTCGAGCAGAGAGCACATCATCAATATCGTCCACCAACTCCTTGAGTGCAGCTACGACACCTACTGTTGGTAAAAAACAAAAACAAAAACAAAACCAATCTCTCCTCTTTTCATCTCTCTGTAGGTTGGACTGGCTTACTTTTTCAACTCTGAAAGTCCCTGAGGCCCCTGGGTTCTGATCAAACTTGTCTTGCTGTGTGTGTTGCCAATCTCATTTGACTCTTCCTTCTCAGCAAAGAAGGCAAAGTGTTTTAACCACCCCATCCCCTGCCCCCTGCAAGAAAAAAAATACAAGAAAAAATGATGATAACTAATACTTGTACTTTGCAGGAATGTTCTTACCCTATCACATGTAAAATTACTTAATATCTTGTAAAAAAAAATAGTACAAGTGTCCAAAGGTTCTATAATGTAGATTTTATTTTCCATAACACTTGCCTAAACATTCTTCATTTAGAAAAATGTTTATTAAAGTTTCAACAGCATGTCCTTCTAGAAATAACATTTGGAATCTTTTTTTAAATTTTTTTCCCACTCATTCTTAAATCATTTGTTCATCCTTGTGTGGATGGATGGTAGAAACTCTGACATTCTGAGAATTAAGCACTTTCCTCTTTATGCCATTAAGTGTTATTAACACATCCTAGACTTTCTAAGAGACATGAATCTGTTTCCGACACCATCACACATGTTGTTTGTGCTATGGATGGGATACAGGCAAAGAGCTAGACAGTTTTCCCAAGTGTGTGATGTCCTGACTTTCCCTTGGTCTGCTCTTCTCTCTTTCCAAAGCTAAGACTCTAGGAAGCCTCTTGGCCATCACTTGTTTCATCTGTTCCTCCATCTTCCTTGTTTTCACATGCATGCTCTCATTTTCCCTTTGCCACAGAGACACTGTGTCTCCTCATTGTTTTCCTGTTCTCAATAGGATTCTTGTCCCTTTCCAACATTTAAACCTCATTCTTTCTCTAGCCCCACACTTCAAATTTTATTGGATAGCCTTGAAATACCTGGAGTACTCTTGGCTCCCTTCCATTTTCCTTGGACCCGTGTGTCGTCTCAGCCCTGTTATCCAGCTGTTCTGCCTACATACTCCTTGCTCAATTGCTTCTCCCCTCCATTTGCCCTCTTCCCACTCTTACCATCTTTTCTGACATCTGCTGTTCTACCCACTCCATGTAATTTGCCTTGTTGGTTGGAGAGGAAGAGAAGGAGGGAACTGTCACTCAGAATGCCTACCCAGAGTAACCTCAGATTAACTATCTGATGTAAAATTTAAGTGCAAGTCCTGGGGTTGGATTATGTCGAAAGTGTATACAATATGTTTCTATCATCCGTGCCTCAGGAACCCCAAAGTATACCAATCTGCTCTTATTCTCAATGTGGCCAGTTTTCCCTCTTTCAAAAACAACAGCAATGGACCGTGATGCTGTCACCTTGCTTTATTTGCTGAGGAGTATTTGGATTGGATTTGGTTCCATTTCTTACTTTGAGCTTTTCGTTTGGTTTCCATTCTTTTCATGCATTCCTCACCATGTTCTTTATTTCCCCCTGCTATGTATGAGTCACCTTATGGCAGCAAATTCACTCCCTATCAGCTGACTGACCATTCAGCAGCTCCTTGTGAAGCACAGTCTCTCCGGAGAGAGAGAGGATGGGCTTGGACAACTTGGCAAGAAGGGCCATATTCGGGATAAACATGGCCCCGTGCAAACTCCATTTCTTATGGGTTTAATGATGAGGGTGGGTAAAATTGGTAAGATTTCCAGCAACGTTTCTGGAAACAATGGGGACATGTTTGTTTGTATGTGTATGTGTGTATGTGTGTATGTATGTATGTGTATGTTTTTCTTCTTACCCCTATAATCTTTCCCCTATACTGACTCTGACAATGGAGTCGAAAGGGATGGAGTGAGAACCAAAAGTAACAAAGCAAAGAGCAGATTAACTTGAGGCTGTGTTGTTTCGGATCTAGCCAAGAAAACTGCGCTAGTCTTTAAGAGCCAGACAGATGAACTATTTCTATCATGGGAGGCACAAAAATAAAGTCCTAAAATGGAGTCTGTAGAGACAGGTTCTTTATCTGATGGTCTTTCCATGTCTAAGGAAAAACTACAAGCCCCCATTCACACTCCAGAATGGCTGCATTTCCTGATATTTGTTGTATTTTGATAAAAATCTGTTTATCTCATGCAAAGGACTGGGCTTTTTGTCCCATGGGGCCATAACTATGGAATCTGAGGTCTAGCGCCAGAAGAGCCCTCAGAGATCATTAAGGCCATCTCTCTTATTTTAGAGGAAACTGAGGCCCAGAAAGATTTAATGTCAGATGCAAGATTTGGACCCGTTTGTCTCCAGAACCAGCATTCTTTCCACTATGCCACACACACAGTCTCCTAAACATAGAGTAAATGGGAGAATAGGTATAAGATGCAAAGAGACAAACAGCAATGAATGAATGAATCAGTGAATGAGCATTTATTAAGTACCTACTATGAGCCAAGTTATGCTAAGTTCTTGGAATACAAATATAAAAGCAGAGACAATTTCTATCTTCAAGGAACTTATATTCTAATGGAGGAAGCATTCTCGCAGGGGTATTTCAATTTGGAAAGTTACAGGGATGGTGAATAGAGCAAAAAGGAAGTAGATTTTCTGAACAATTAGAAGAATCCCAAAGTAGAGGTAGCAGGTTCCTCCTTTCTGGGTCCAATGAGAGCTGGACTTGTCAGGCAGAGGGAATTGTTGTCCAGGCAGGGGTTGACCTACACAGGTCTCCTCCAACTCCAAGAACCATAGACTCTGAAATGAAAGTATGAAAATGAGAAAAACAATTCTGCTCTAAAAAGCTGGCCTCTCCTTCCAATAACCAACAGGTTATTGGAGAACCCCAGTTCTCCTCCCATCATCTTGTGATCACGAATCATATTCTTTTGTAACAACTCCATGTGTACTGGTCACTAACAGTTTGGTTGGCGATCCCCAGATCACCTCTCATAACTACGGTGCCAAAAGATGGAGACATTTATGGGTCCCCCTCATTTCTGGATCCTTATACATCCACAATTTAAATCAGATCTTCTTTCCAGGATTCTATGATAGATGAGCAGTCATCATTTCCTAGGCTCAAAGAATCCTAGTTAGAAGTCACCTTAGAGATTATCCTGTTCTATCCCTTCTAGTGGTCCCCATATGTTGTCATTCAGCCCCTAAATAAAAGTATTCCCATGATGATGAGCTCTTTTTTGGCATCAAAGGGAATATCCCAAGAATGTAAGCAAAAGTAACGTGTTCATTTGTGAGGAATTCACAGCCAGTTTCTAAGGTTGGACTTTGGCCATGTTCTCTGAAAGCTGGGATGCTTCCTCCCAATATTTTAGGTGTGCAAGGTGAAGCAAGGGGCTCTGAATTGGGTCACACTGCTGAAGAATCCTCCGTGTTCTTTGCTTCTGGGCAGACACATTGTCCTGGCAAAGGAAGAAAAAGAATCTGTGATACCTATCCGGATGGAGCCAGTCAGGAATGCCAAAGGGCTCTGAAACCAGACATTAACAACTAGAATTTGTTAATTGTGAGAAAGTGAAGCTAATGGAACTTGGCTTACGCCTTATCTTTCCCCTAGCAATGGGTTCTCATAAAAGGCTAACTCTGATTCTGGATCAGTGGGTAGGGAGTTGATAACGGATTCCTCACTGCAAGTTGAAATGCACTTATTTCCTAGGCCAAGCATAAAAGACTGAACATGCACAGTACTCTTACTTTCCCACTAAGGCAGGGACCATACCATATTTATCTTTGCATTTTTCAAGCAAGGGACAGCATGGAATGGGTAGAGAGCTGACCTTGAATCCAGAAAGATCTGGGTTCAAATCTCACCTCTGAAACCTACTGGCTAGGTCTGTCAGTGCATTCCAGGCAACAATCTACGGGTTGCAAAGAAGATGCTGACCTGCATTGCTGGAGGGAGCTTCCCCACACCAATGAAATCACAGGCCTAGCCCCAGGCCCTACCTCCTCAGTAACCTAGCTCAATGCATTGCCCACAGTAGCCCTTAATGAACTTTTGCCAAATGGATGGACAAAATCAGAACCATCCAGTTCTATATCCTTGAAGCTTTCTCCTTCTTTGGGTCCTTCTAGAACCTTCAGAAATCATCTCAAGGATTCTTTTCAACTACTAAGGACCTACTTGCATGCCATGTTGATTCAAAAAACAAGTAGAAATGTTTGAGCTTCCATGTTTCTAAGGAGATTGAAATTTAAAATCCAAAGAAACTGGGTCCAACTCCAAACTGTGATGCCCACCCGGGCAAATCACTCAACCTCATTGGTAAGATGAGCGGGTTGGCCTCGATGGTCCCTGAGTCTCCTTCCAATCTGGGCTCTGGGATCCTGTCAGCCAGGTGTAGCCCCAGCCTGTCGTCATCTAGTGGGCCAAAGGTGAGCACCATGGTCCTGGTCATTCTGGCAAGAAGGACGTAGTGGGCATTAACACAATGGCCTTCCTCCCTCCTGGAGAATGTAGAGAGTTCTCCTCTGCCATGACCCCTGTTTGGGACAGAAACCTGTCTACATTTGACTAGGAACTAGTTGAGTCCAAAGGGTGATGGGGAAGCCAAGAAACCTAACTGCACACTTAGGGCTGCATGAAGAGAGACATGAAATCCAGAACTAAGGGCCACGTGATCTTAGCTTCTTGAGTCTATTGCCGGAGGGGACCTCACCCAGTCTTCTCATTTCACAGATAAGCAAACTGAAGTCTGGGGAGGCTAAATTGAATTTCCTGACTTCACAAAGTCACACAGGTAGTACTGGAACCCAGATCCTTTGATTTCCAATCCATCACTCTATCCACAGGGTCACGTTGGGAGATGTCTCTTGTCAGACTGCATTTTAGATCATTCTGTTCTGTTCTGGTTGCCACATTTTAGGAAGGACGTGGAATGGAAGGAAAGTATCAGTGGACAGAGTGCTGGGGCCTGGGGTCAGAAAGACCTGGGTTCAAATCCAGCCTTAGATACTTACTAGCTATGTGACCCTAAGTCACTTAACCTCTGTCTGCCTCAGTTTCTTCATCTATACCCTGAGGATAATAATAGTACCTATCTTCCAAGGTTGTTGTGAGGAGGAAAATGAGATATTTGTATAACATACTTTTACAAACTGTAAAGTTATGGAAGTACCCGCTACTCTTATTATTACCAAAAAGGAGGCAATGAGGATGTTGAGAGATGGTAAAGAGTCTTGAGTCCGTACTCTATGAGATTTAGGTAAAAGAACTGGAGGTGTTTTGATGGCAGAAGAGAAGACTTAGGCAGGACATGATAACTGTCTTTAGCATTTTTGGAGGGAAAGGATGGAAAATTGCCCTCATTTGGCTATGAACGAGCCAAGAGAATGACCTGGAAGCAAAACAATCTAGATTTAGACTACACTCAGACACGTAGTGGGCTCCCACATAGAAGAAGGACGATCTGTGTGACCCCAGCTTTAAGCTTGATGCTGGTATAAACAATGAGTACTGTCCCTGGAGAGAATGAGCTACCTGGATCTTTGCTAGAGGTCTCAAGCAAAGGCTGGGTGACTGCTGGTCACATATCTTGTAGGAGGAATTCTTGTTCAGATAGGAGGTAGACCAAGATGGCCTCTGAGGTCCTTTCCAACTTGGGAATTCTTTGACCCTTTCAGCCAAACTCTAACAGTAATTATACTACTCCATGGATGTTCCCAGAGGTAAATTAACCTTGTGCTAACTACCAGGATCTCATCTGGCGCAACTGAGGAATCATTTGCCCAAGAACCCAAAGGGCCCTGCAGAAATCCCCAAACTGCCTGACATATCTGTGAAATCACCTCCCTACAGAAGTTAGTCAACCTCTTGTTGCATTTGAAGGCCATTCTAGACCAGTTTAAGCATTCTTACTTGGTCTTTGTGTTTATATCTAGAAGATAAAGCTTAGGAGATTTGCCAGAAAAAGATTCCATTTATAGAATATTCTCATGCCTCATCTGGAGAATTCCAATGGTGGGTTTCTGGTTCATGCATGGGGCACATTCTTTTCCAATGTCTAGTCTAATTTTAATTAATTTTGTACTTAGGTGAGAAAAGCACAGAGGTCATACCAGGTTTAGGAAGCTGACTTCCATTCATCACCTACCTGAAGTTGGGCCAGGGCTTCAATTTGGTGTATATCACCACCTCTGACACTGGGGTGTCAAGTTGCATGTCTGTCAGAAGCAAGGGCTGCTGGTGGTGGATGGTGATGGTGCTCAGGGTTTTGTGATTGTGCCAAAACCATCACTCCCTGCTCTTCTATCTTAATAAATAGTGCTGGGGTGGGGTGGAGTATATGGAGGACTGGGGAAGCTCCTGTTGATTGATTTTTTAAAAAGAAGCAAGTCAACACTAGGGAAATACCAAGAAAACAGCTAATAGGTAATTGCTACAAGGGTCAAGCAAGCAAAAGGGGAGTTCTATGGTAAACAGAATCATGAGAGTTCCTATTTGTTCTGATGTAGCTAGCATCATTAAACAATGCTGGTGCTAGAAGGGATGTCAGGAGCCTCGTTTTATGGATGTGGAAACTGAGTTTAGGGTCGTAGGTTCATAGATTTAGAGCTAGAAGCAAATTTAGAAGTCCAATCCAGTAGTGACTTAGATAATCACAAATTAACATTATGTGTATTGTATTACATTTTCATTTATTTTGTTAAACATTTCCCAATTACATTTTAATCTGAATTCAAGCCTACTCTGGAGTTTTACCCGCTGCTTGCCACTGAAGGGGCTGCAAGCTTGACATCTCTGATCTAACCCAAGTCCCTTTTTACATAGGGGGAAACTGAGGCTCAGAGAATTTAAGAGACTTAGGATCATAGATTGAGTGCTGGAAGAGACCCTCAGACTTATCTAGTCCAATGCCATCCTATTACAGATGAGGAAACTCAGACCCAGAAGGGTTAGGTAATTTGCCCGAGGTCACACAGATGATAAATTACAAAGACAGAACTCAAACACATTTCTCATAAAATCAAAGAGCATAGATTAAGAGGTGAGAGGGACCTTGCATCAAACCAGCTTCCTCACTTTACAGAGAAGAAGACAGTGAGAGTGAGGGGTCCCTTTGCCCAAGGTGCACACAGCTAGTAAGTATCTGGAGCAGAATTTGAATTCAGGTCTTTCCAATCTCAAGTTCAATGTCCCAATATCATGCTATCCCTCCTGATTTTATGTCCAGGACATTTCCACTAGACCATGCCAGCTCTCTGAGCCATAGGGAAGGGAATCCTAAATATGCCAAAGGAAAACTTTATACGAAGTTTGCCTGAACGTTGGTAAAGCTGTGATTGTATAAATTTGGAACCTGACTCACAAAAGGGAAATCCTGAGAAGAGATGACGTTGTGTGGTAGGAAAAGAACTGGAATCAGGAAAGACTGGGTTCAATCTTTCCTCTGACACATGCTAATTGCATGACCATGGACAGGTCATTTAACCTCTCAGTGTCCCAAGGGAGCTCTCCAATACTGCAAGGGACATATGATTTGTCATCTGTGTCAGTGGAGAAGGTCCCCACACCCAGAGTTCCCTACCCCGGAATCCCATACCGCCCCCAAATGGTGTGTATATAGGAGGGGAGGGGAGGGGAGGAATCCTTCAATCATAGGCTGAAACATGGAGAGGCCCCTTAGAAGCAATTTAATCCAGTGTTTTCATTTTACTGATGAGGAAACTGAAGCCCCAAGAAGTAAGAGGACCACCTAGTGAATGGCGGAGGCAGGGAATTCCAATCCAGCGCCTCTGCCTTCAAATCCATGACTTTTCCCACAAAGCCCATGGAGCCTCAGCCAAATCTCTCTCTCTTTTTTTTTTAGCTTTATTGTGATGGATTTTTGTTGTCTCTAGTCATCTATCACTATATATGTATAGACACCTATAGATATATAGATATAGATATGTCTGTGGGTGGAAACGTGAAATTGCATGCCAGACCACCCTGGTGAGCTGTCAATACATAACCTGATGTTCTTGTAAATGGGCATCTGTCTGACCACTTGGAATTACATCAGAGCAGAAAAATACACTGCCGTCATAAGTCAATTATTCATGAATCATCCCTTTAACAACCTGCTCTAGAAGTTGATGCGATGTGTATATGATGAGGCTGATGGACTTTTGTCAAGATTCAGAGGCGTGGAAACCAAACCACTGCTGTTTCCTTTAGCTTTAAGGAGGGGCGGGGATGGGAAGCAGCCTCATTGTGTCGCTCTTGTAAGCTCATGACTGGTCCTCTAGATCCCCACCACATCCCAGTGACTTGTGTGTGTTTGTCTTTCCATGCGCACGCTTCCTTGTGTTCTGTTGAGATATGGTGTGTGTGGCTGGATTTCACTTGGGTTTGTGGTTTTTGTTTTGTTTTGTTTTTATTTTGTTTCTCCCCCATTTCTTTATGTTCCTTTTGTTTCCGGTATCAGAAGATGATGTTTTTAATGGCAAGCTCCCTTCGTTTGAAAGGCACGGTGAAACGCCTGAAGGTATGGTGCCAGCCAAGAGACTCCCAGAAATCTCCATTTGTAATGACCTAAGCCATTCTGTCATCCGAATGCCTACTACTTTCATGGACATGCTCTCCACTCCATGAGTGTCCAGTGCCTCTCAGACACATTCTGTACTTACCTGTTTGCAAGTGGGGGCTAATGCCACCAACATCTCTCGTCTTTCTTTTGTAAATTACAAAGCACCATCTTGCATGGCAGTTTCTCAGTGAAAAGGTTGGAGAAACGGTGAGATGCTCTGGCTTTGTGAATTGACCAAGGAAGGAAGGAATAATTTAACTGCTCAGGAGTTAGTGCAGGGATTTGTATAATTATTCCTCTGTTTTTTTTTTTCTCAAGTACCTAAAGGGAATTGTGAGCTCATGTTATAGGGAGAAGGGATGGGAGGTGAAAGGCATTCGGACAGTTGTTAATTTGACATACACTCCTCCAATTTGATGACATTTAAAGGCAGATTTTAGCTACTCTTAAACAAGTTGGTTTCTGTTCTCTTCACTAATATTTCTCTACAACCAGTTAAACACAGGAGGGGATGCTATTTGAGGTGAACCGGGGATGGCAATTGCTGGATGGGCTTGCCAAAACTAACGCAGTTAAAATATGCTAATACAGCTTGCATGCCCAGGATACCTCCTCCTGCTCCATGCATACCAACAAGCCAGTGTCAAGCAGTCAACAACTCCCCCCTCCCTCCCTTGACTCTCCCATAGCTTTGCTTTTTGCTTTCTGCTCCCCTAATTCTCAAGGCAATGGGAATTTCCAGGGCCTGTTTTCCCGCACGATAATGCCATGCAGTTCCTTCATCCTACCTACCCAATAATTAGAATAATGAGCTGCTCTGTGACTCACACTGTGTCCTTCTCTCTCCCTCTCCTTAACCTTTCCCATCCCGCTTCAACTCCTGACCATACAGAGAATGACCAGCCTTCCCTCGTTTGGTTTGACAGAGGAAAGTTTTATTTGACTTTTGAAGGTAAGTAGTACATAGCATACCAAACTCCAATTTACTCCCTCATTCCCACCCTTGACCTTTGTCTCCCCATCTCCATTTTGAAATCCCAGAGATTCCTTCAAAAACAAACCTAGACTCACTTTTTAAAATGAAAATGCTATGGCTACTTGGAAAAGATGAAAAGTTTAATTATAATTTCTTGAATTTGATTTATATATGACCTTCAATTTCTCATATTAAAAATCAAAAAAATAATAATCTTCTTGACCTTTTCTTGGTAAAGCAATTAATTGTGATCTTAAAATTATAGAAAACTCTAGGGAAAAAGACAATAAACCACTTTTGGCATTTTTTGGCCAAGGAACTTAACTCTGTCAACCAGGGCTCTTTCTAAATTTTTCTGCAATTCATTGATTACAAAAGTGATGTATCAAGTGCAAAAACATCTTTTGATTTGTAAGAGGATTTCACATGATTCTGGACCACTTGTATCTCAGAAAAATTGCTTGTTATAGTTGAACGTTATTGTATGCTCATGATCTGGGATGCTTCTTTGAGATCACATTAATGATAAAATAGTATTTGTGGTATTTTGTATCTGTGGCTCACTAAGTTAGCTTTTGGAATAGTTTCAGGACAATGAACAACTCTACCAGTACCTTCTTGCCATTTTAAGAAACTGAGGGCTACATACAAAATTCAGGGTCTGATTTATAACTTCACTATTTGTAAAGAGAAGAGGAAAAGGAAAATGAAGAGATGGAAAGGGAAAGGAAATTTCATAGTAATCAAAGTACTATTTTCTATAAATGTTTGACAAAATATCCTGTATAAATGGGATAAAAGGCAGCAATAGTGGCTAGAGAGCTGGGCTTGGTACCAGGAGTACCTAGGTTCAGGTCCTGCCTCTAACACAAAATATCTGTGAGACCACGGACAGGGAACCTCTCCGTGCTCTAGACAATTCTTTAAGTCTTGATAGATAAATGGAGATAGATAGATAGATAGACAGACAGACAGACAGACACAGATAGATAAACAGACAGATGCAGACAACTAGGTAGATAGATAGACAGGTAGGTAGGTAGACAGACAGACAGACAGACAAATAGGTAGATAAGATAGACAGATACAGACAACGAGGTAGATAGACAGAGAAATAGATAGGTAGATAGACAGATATATAGACAAATAGGCAGATAGACAGACAGACAAATAGGCAGATAAACAGATAGATAGGATAGATAGATGATGGATGGATGGATGGATGGATGGATGGATGGATGGATGGATGGATGGATGGATGGATGGATAGATGGATAGAAGAAGAAAAGGGAACAAGTATTCAAGTCCCTACAATGTGCACTATGCTAAGCACTTTACAAATATTATATTATTTGATTCTCACAACCATTTTGGGAGACAGACACATAGACAGACAGATCTCCCCGTCACTTGAATTTTACTTAACTCATTTTTAGGAATTTGTTTTAAAAAAAAAGTTCTGGCCACCCAATAATGATTACTACTGGCAGACTATTTCTAGTGCATGTGTGGTGCCCTTTCTTCCTGAAAGGCACTCTTCTGGGCCCAACAGAAATCTTACATGAACTTAATTGAATGAATATTGACAAATGGCAATTTTATTTTTCATCTGGGACCTGGATTCAGCTTTGGTAAGTGTGTGACCTTGGCTATGTTTTGGAGGGAAGAAGTCCAGGTAAATCATGCTATGTTTCCTGTGCTTTCTCCCTGCCTTCCACCAAGAGCATTTTTATCCAGATAAAACCAAGGGAAAATTAACTTAAGGGCCAGTTTGAAGGCTTAACAAGACAGCATGAAGCCAGAAGGGAAGAGTGTGAGAAAAGAAAAAAGGAACCTTGGCATGGCAGAAAAAATCAGGAAACCCAAGTTTGAAACCTGCTTCTCACACTTACTAGTTATGTCTCTCTGAACTTCAGTTTCCTCATCCGTAAAGTAGAAATTATAATACCTATCATATTGACTTCATAGCGTTGTTGTGAGGAAAGCCCTTTATGAACCTGGAAGTGTAATAGATGTGCATGAGTGGTTGTAGGTACTGGTGATGGAGTGGAATGTTCTGGACCCACTGACTTTGAAGGATCCTGAGATCATTTTTGCTGTCACTATTTCATTTCCTCTGTTTGCTGCTCCCAGGTCATTGGCCAGCACCCACTATGGAACCCTCTCCCAAAAAAGTGGGACTCAGGGTAATTACCTTGATTCCCAGTCCCCAAGATGTGATTCTGAGTATGGAAAGAATGGTGAAATTTTGGAAAGCTAGTAAAAGGTGAATTTGCCCAGGGTAAAGCCCTGGGAAAACCTATGCTTTAGAAGAATAACCTGAATAAAGAATGGATTGACATGGGTGGAGACTTGAGGCAAGAAAACCAAGTTGAAGGCTGTCATACTAATGCAAGAAGAGGTGATCAGAGCCTGAAGTATGGTTGTGCTTATATAAGTAGAAAGAAGGGGAGGTATATAAGGGAGATTGTGAAGGTAGAAATGACAAGATTTGGCACTGAACTGGCCAGGTAGCATAACAGAAAGTATGACATCAAGAAAAACACTGAGGTTGCAAGCATGGGTGACAGGAAGAATAACAATTCCCTTGACAGTCATAGAAAGGTTCAAAATAGGAAAAAACTTGGAAGGAATGATAATGAGTTCTGTTTTGGATGTGCTAAATTTGAGGTACCTGCCATATATCTTGTTCATGATGTCCAAGAAGTAGTTGGAAAATTGCGACCCTAAATCCGTGCTCAGGACGGGAGACTAGAATTGGATCTAGAGTCAGTAGAGATGACACATGAACACATGGGGGCTGATGAGATCACCAACTGAAACAGTATAGAGGGAGTAGAGAACTGGTGGAGTTGAGGTGGATGGCAGGACAGAGCCTTGGGGAGTATTTGGGAGTAAAGTGCGATAGAGATGAAGAAATAGCAAAGGAAACTGAGAAGGAACATTCGGTGTCAAGGCAGTGTCATGAAAACCTAGAGAGGAGAAAATATCAAAAAGGTGGTACTCAGCAGACTGCAGAAAAATCCAGAAAGATGAGGATGGAGAAAAGGCCACTAGGGATGTTTGGTAGCTTTGGAGAGAGCAGACGGGATGGAGCAATGGGAAGACAGGTTCCAGAATGCTTAGAAGAGAGTAAGAAGATAATGAGAGGAACCAATTGTAGGCAGCTTTCTCAGAGTGTTTAGCCACAAAAAAAAATGGAGGAGAAATGTGGACCAATAGGTAGCAGGGATGATTAGGTAAAATGAGGGTTTTTTAAGGATAGGAGCAGGGGAGACATTGTGGTGTTTCTAGGCATCAGAGAAGGAGCCATAGATAGGGAGAGACTAAAAATCTGAGACAGATAGGAAGGATAATAATGGAAGCAAATTGCTAGAAAGGTTGGAAAGGATTGGGATCAGACTCATGAAGAGTGGTTTGCCTTGACAAGGAAAAGAAGCACCTCTTTCTGAGACTGGAGTGAAAGAGGAGAAGGTAAAGGAAGGTGCCTGAGTGATGAGAGATGAGGAGGAGGGAGAACTGGGGAGATCTTGGTGAAAAGTCTTAATTTTTGTTTTGGTGAAAGGTCCACAGCTGAGAGGATAAAGGGAGAGAGGGTGTCATAGGAGATTTGAAAAGAAATGAGAAGTTTTTTGGAACACACATTGTGGAGAGTGGACTTGGGAATAGAATATTTGCCTTGCTGCAGTGAGGGCCCAGTTGAGATTAGATAATAGTTAATAAAGTCAATAAACATTTTTAAGTGCCTACTATGTATCAGGTACTGTGCTAAATACTGGATTACACAAATGATACTCTGTGTGTAAACCAAACGGGATGATATTTCTAAAACATCACTGCCCCCTGCTGTTAAGGTATTATTACATGATGCTCAAATACTTAACATAATCTTTGACTTCAATCTGTATTGTAGTCACATGGCCAAAAGACACTGTCTTTGCTATTGCTTCTCCGAGACTTGAATAAATGTCCCATAGTATTAACAGAGCTACATACATGTTTTCACTTGAGGCAGAAACAGGTGAGCAGAGTTTGGGGATGGAGAGATGGGCAACAGCATGGAGGTCACTGTGACTTGGCTGAAATGATTCCTTCTCTCTAAGCTCCATTACCCCATAAGAATGAGGAGTTCATATGCTTATGTATTGAAATGTGGATTTCAGAATGAAAAGATGTTTCCACACATCTCGTGCCTCCTGACAGTACAGCTTCTGATCCCACTTGCGACATGTCCTATCCATGTCAGGGTGAGTCACTTAACATGACCTAGCCCCATTAGATTGGGAGCTCCTGGAGGGCAGGGGCTTTATCTACCACGATTCTACATTGCCTCCCTATCCCACCTAGATGTTTTAAAATGCTGAAAGGGGAGGAAGAAAGACCTCTGCACTTTATAAAAGCAGTTTATTTCTAAAGCTAAAGCAAGCTAGGAAAAAAAATCTGGAACTATGCTGGTGAGAGTCCTGTTGTGTGTAGATGTAAGTAACTAAAAAACAATTTCAAATAGGAGGACTGAAAGAAGGCAGGAATATTCTTGTTTCAAAAACTGCAGGCTGCTTCCAAAATCCCTTTGCTTCTGGATTTTAGAAATGGGCTAAATGGAGAAGAAGTCAGTTCTCTACCATATGAAGAAGGTGAAGGAATTTCAGGTTGTGGGTTTCACAAGATTCTGTAGTAGAATTAGTATAAGACAGTGACAACAGCCAAAGGAATCTGCTAGGTCTCCAAGGAGAGCTGTGTGTGGATTTTTGGCACCTGGAGCACAGTCAAGAGAAAGTTAAAGCCCCCAAAGCAAAGCCAGTGATGGAGAATTGTAGGTGTTGAGGGCTTGATTTGCTTTGGTTTTAAGACGCCAAATTATGTCTGGTTTTCTATTGATCATGCTCTAGTGTTTCTACTGGACCTAATCATGTGCTTAGTAAGGTTTTTCATTTATAGCATTTTAACAATTATATTTTGTAGAAAAAAGTATAATT